CGATCTCAAAATTGGAGAAAAATGACGAGTAGCTGAAAAAATGGAACCAATTGATGCGATATATCGCATGCCGTTCTGACACAAAATATGGCGTCCATCGAATCACCTTAAGGCTGAATGAGTGAGTTATTAATGATCATAAGAGAGAAGGACGTAAGATGATTAGCCCTTACATTTTCTAGCATCTAGTTGACTCAGTCTCATTAGTATCCACTGAAGCCTCGACCCTTTCAAAGTAAAAAAAAAGTTTTTTGTTTTTCATCTGTAATTTTCGTTCCAGGTATGAAGATAGGATTTGCAAGCTGTACAAGAAATTAAGTCAATTAAAAAATGAGTCTGCCACAGCTGGAAGACAAACTTTGCAGGCAATCCGTTTTTCTGGTAAGTTTTAAAAAATCTGCGTGTTATGTAGGTTCACATAGAGATGCAGAAAATTCTTAGCCTTTCCATTTTTCAAGTCAATCTCTTTAATCTAGAAACCCCATTTACCTGAAAATGTCTTAGTTATTAGCTTTTGATGCTCTTTATCTCCGAATTGCTGTAATTTAACAAGAAATACGCATTTTTCAAGTTGATTTTGTAAGGAGGTAACGTCAAAAAAATGTACATTTGAAGTACCTCTGCAAATATTGGAAGTACGCAATTTTTGCACTAGAGAGTGTGGCCTTTTCATTGTGAAAACCGGTTTTCCAGCCCTTTTTGCTTGAGCCCTCACAACCTGCTAGTCGCATGGTCGGGAAGTTTTTGCACCCTTTTACACATGGTATGTATTTGTGAAATCTCACCTTTTCGGCCAATTAATTCATTCAACAGCAACATGCAAACTTTTAAAAAAATTTCCAAATGCCTCTACATATTCTGTAATGATGATAGTTTTGAGTCCTTACTTACGCTCCCTGATTTCTTAAAGGAAGAATCATCTAAGAATACCTGGCAAGTATATTAAAAAATTCAATTTTGAAGTTGAAGGTATGATCCTCCTCCAATTGCAAGTCATGGTGGTTTTGAGAAGTCTTCATTTGTATACTGTTATTGCTTGTTTTAATTTAATGTAATTTCCCTTTTTTAGGAACAAAGCATATGGAAATTAACCGAGCAATTGAAAAATTCTACAACAGAAGAAGAGAATTTCCTAACTTTCCAGATATTGTGAAGGTGGTTACAAATGAGAATAAAGAAAAATCTCTTAATTTCTCGGCTGATTATATTCATGAAATTGGTAAGGGGAAAGCTAGCTATTGTCTTCAATTACAAAGGTCACAAAGTATGAGAAATTATATAACATTTATTTTAAATTTTCCTCTGAACTTGAAAAAGTACTTGATGCATGTCATTGCCAAAAACTTGGGAGATAATGATCAAATCATGCTGGTATTTTAATGAACTAGCGCCACCGCCTAGCCTCTTTATTTAAACACTTTCAGCAACAGCCTGATTGCAAAGCCCTCAAAAAGAGTTACAAATTTTAATTTTCTTTGTATAAGCGTACTTAATTCGGAATGCAATCATTTCGCAATTCATTTCATGATTTTTGGAGCCTATCATAACAGCAGTCGTTATCTAAGTTTTCTCTTTTCAAGTACATTTTCATTATATTTAATTATTTTTGTTGCTTTCAAAAGCAAATCCATACATGAATTGTGACTTTTTTCAGTTAGCGTAACTCCTCTAAGCTCAGATTTCAATGCCTCATAAAGTCGTTCTTGCAAGAATTGTGACCAAAACATGATCAGAGCAAGCAAAAAGTGTTAACTGCCAAATAGGATAGTGTTTATTTATCCATATTTAATGCAAAAGGGTCCTCTAACCAACAATGATGTGTATAAAAGTTGATTACCATGGAAAGCCTAGTGAAATTAATGGATTAGAGAGAAAGATAATGAAGCATAATAACTCATCGAAATTCATGCAGAACATGTTATTCACAGTAGAAGCTCTCAAAATTTTAAACATAAGTGTTTTACCAGGGTTCACAGTTTACACTCTAATTAGTTGACATTTTGACTGAGATGGTTGATAGCAGGATGTTTTAAGCAACTAACACACAAAGAACACACAAATTTCTCTTTTATGAGGTTCCCTTAGTTTTCTATGTTTCCCTTAGTCTCTTTGAGAAATATTGAAGAGAAAACAAGTATTGCAGTCCGTGAGTCCTAAAACTGTCAAATCATCAACTCCAAGAAAATAACTGATCTTCTCAAAATTTTAGATTTATCAGGCGTTGGTGTCCAATAGAGTTGTTATTTCCTGTATCTGAAATTCTGCCTCATTTCTTCCAGCAAGAGCAGCTTTTAAAGAACTCGGAGGACAGCTAAAGCGGAGACGGCAGTATGAGCTTCATGAGCATTTTACAGATCTATTGTCAGCCTCACAATTGACGGAGATCAATCCGGCAGATGATGATCCTGAACTGGAACAGAAACTGTCGGAAAATAAAAAAATTGCAGAAACCAAAATAGAAGAGGTTTGTTTTGTTTTTGTGATGAAGCATTGTGTATTTTATTTGCCTTTCACTTTAGATCAACTTATTTTATAATTAGTAAAAGAGTATGCTTGTTTTAATTCCTCTCATGATCATCAAAAATTAATGTTGCTCACATTACCTTGACGTGCATAGGTTGTCCCTAAAGTATCTCAATGTTTGTAATTTATTTTACGATCTGAAAGTTGCAAAATTCACTTTTGACAGAGCTTTAAACATCATAAGCGCAGTTCTATTATGAGATTTTTGAGCTTTTTTGGTCGAATTTTGCCAAAATGCAGAAATTTAAAATTCATGTGTTGCACAGCTGCGGATAAGATTTTTAGTATGTGAAATGTCCACATCATACATGCACCTCATTCAGATCCTGTTGTTGACCCTAGAGTGTGTGTGCCTAAGGAAAAGTAAGGCCCATGTGGAAAGTGACCTTGTAGTGGAGTGAGAAAATGCTATGTTATTCATTCTAAGAAAAACGTAGATGGATGCTGAATCTTTTGATCATTTTTGCGATGCTGTATGTATTGCAGAAATGAATTTTAAAGAGGAAAAGTAAGATATCTGTTATGTGAGTGCATTGCTGTAATAAATCAAAATTTCTACAAATAATACCTCTAATGTATTATTGTTTCTTGAGCAAGAAAAATCTAATTATCCCTCTTGTTAGATGCCATTTTGGTAACGATTCTGAATTTCTTTGCAGATGGTGAACAGGTATGCTGAGAGGCAATCAGAAATTAATGAAGAAGCAATCCTAGAAGCAGATGCAGAACTAATTGAAAGTGGTGCCGCCTCTCCAGAAGTGTCGACACATGAAGATGACAGTGAAGGAGAGGCAGAGAATGATATTGAGGATGATATCAAAGAAGTTGAAGGCGACAACGAAGAAGCAGAGAATGAAATTGATGACACCGGAGATGAGAGTGAATCGGGGGAAAATTCAGAAGAAGAAGGAAACGATGTCATAACCTGGAAAGAAAAGACTGAAGAAGAAAAGATCTCTGTCGTTCGAGATGATGATTCCAACTGTAATTTAAACGGAAGCAAAACAGTTCCAATCATCAAGAGCCCGAGTCCAGAATGCACTGAGAGTAAGGAAAACCTGGCACCACAGAATCAAATCTCAAACGATGCTCAGAATTGTCTCCCTAAACTAGGGACAGAAACTGAAACAGGGGATGTCAAAGTTTCTGAAAAAAATTCCAATGAAAGTCTTGGAAGCTCACAAGAGAAAGACTTCCATTTGCCTGCGTTGACTGATGAGGATTCTAAAGACTCCTCTAAAACAACTGGAAGTATAATCGAACGCAAGGACTCTTGTGAAGTGGTGGAAGACTGTATCGCTGAAAACGGTGACTCTGGTGAAAGAATGGAAGTAGACTCATCGGAGAAAAACTTGGATGAAGTTGTCATAGATTCAGAGGACAGTGGAGGCTCTTGTCAAATGATCGATGCTAACTCAGGGAATAGCCAAGACTCTGTCCAAAGAATAGATGAAGATGCAGAAACTCACAAGGACTCAAATGAAAAAATGGAGAATGAACAGAGTCAAGATCAATTTTCAAATGTGGAAGATACTTTGTGTATGGAAGTGGAAGAGGTTGACAGCGACACTGATAGTAGCTCAGATGAGTCAATGGCTTCCATTGAAGTTGCTCGAGCAAAGACTGTTGAAATTTCTCCACTAAAAAAGTCTCCATCTTCCAGTAGTCGAATAGAAATCCCATCCAAACTCAAACATGAAGACAGTAGCAAAGTATCATCAAGTGCTAAAGAAAGCATTCCTGTCATCAGTGCTGACAGCACTCCTCTTTCGAAAGAGTGCGCAAGTGCTGAAGCCCAAAAAATAGAAAATTGCTTAGTTGAAAATGAGTCATTTATGAACATAAAGGGTAGATTAAAAGTTCTTAGCTCAGAAGAAGCCACCGGAAAAAGTGCCTCTAGTCAAATTGTTGAACAGGACATTTATATTGCTTCAAGTAGTGGTGACATCTTTCTTTCTCCAGAAAAAAAGAAAGTTACTGTTCCTCTATCTACTGCAGAGGAAGCAAAAAGCAATGCATGCAGGGCCATGTTGAAGTTTGAAGAAAAACCAGAAGTTGTAGCAGAAGATAGCAACAATCTCACACCATCTGTAATGGCAGAAAAAGGATCTTTGTTCGTAGTTGCCTCCGGTGGAGAAGCGTTTGTTGTCCCAAAAAAAGAGGTTAAGTGTGATGCCAAAGGGACAAATATTGTAGATAAATATAGGCATATAATTAAAGATTGCTGTGTACGGCTAGCCAGATGCGATGATGTTGTGGCGAAACTTGAAAGACGGCGGAGGAGTAGATTAATGGATATCCCAATGATACCGCTCTCCTCTTCTTCCTCTTCCTCTTCCTCCTCTTCCTCGTCGGAGTGTGAAAGTATTGATGAACCACCGTCCCCAAAGCAGAAAAAAACTCCAACACGTAGAAAAAGACGGAATTCAGACAGCTCTGACTCTGATTTCAATCCATATACGTTTGATGAGCCTGTTAGCGTAAAGAAAAAGAAAAAGAGCCTAATGCGGGCTCAGAATCAAGTGCAGCTGTATAAAAAATCAAAACCAACAGAATATGACTCCGATGAGATTATAGTTTTAGATGAAGTTCCGGCCAGGAGGGACTCGGAAGAAATTGTTGTTGAAGTAGATACTGACTCTCTTTTAGGTAAGTTCAACCCATCGCACACTCAATGCTTCAATGTATTTTTTATTCACTTATGAACAGAGAAGAAGTCTTCTTTCTTCTTGTGAAGTTTTTGTCTTTGCCACTAAATGCAGCGTAGTATAAAGCTTTTCCCGTCCCTTTTTTACCACCGCTTTCAACTGTATCCCTCTGAGTGCTTGAAAATTATTACCTTCCAGGGGCTCATGAATTTTGTCGTAGTTGGGCCCGCAGGAAGATCAGTGCTCTGCCTTTCCCGGCGCCAAGTGCGCCTAACAAGTAGGGAGGCTGGGCCACCGTGGCGCCGAAAAAAAAATGATGCACCCAGTCGATTTTTCCAAACTCCCAATAGCAAAGCAGTGTCAAAAGTTAGTATAGCTTCTAAGAAATTACTGGTGGCTCCTATTAATTGGGCTGTCCGACCAGGGTGGCTCGTCCGGTCCGTGCCGCTGTAGGGAAGGTCTGCGCCATATGGATATTTCCCAATGCTTGGGATCCCTGCTTGTCTTTGAGAATCAAGGTCCGTACTGAAGATCTGATTATTTGCATTGAAATTGCAACTATGCAAGTTGAAAGCACATGGAAAAATGTTAAAATCAGCTGGTTACTATAAGTGCAAAATGTACTCTCCAGAGAACAAGGGTATCCTTCTATAATCTTTCATGGCAGAAAATAATTTCACATTTCCCCTAATGTTTAATAGTTTTTAATTCTTACTTTTGTTTTATTTTTCAGGCATTTTGAATCCTAGTACATCAAGTAACAACATGCCCTACAGTGCTCCAAATTATCCCAAGCAAAGAGGGAATATTAGCATAACACCTGTTGCTGCCAATATCCAGAAACAGTTTAGAAATGTATGTTCAAAAAGTATATATTTATACATTAATTTTTTTATTTGCAAGTTTTCTCTGGGTATCAGCCAACACTAAGTTATTCCCAAAGCTTTAATGCTTGGCATGAAACTGAAAACAGAAAAAAACTATTTGAACGAAAATCGAAAGCCTCTGCTGTATTTTCATTAAATGTTTCTTTTGTAAACCAGGAGTGCTTGTAGAAAGTTCCATGCCTTCCCCCATTTTCAACCAAAATTCATGATCCATTCCTCCCAAAGGCTTTAAGAAAAATAATTAGTAACCTTTTACCCCAAAAATTGGACTTTTTACTGCTAAAACACCAGTTTTTATTCTCAAAGATACTGTGTGTAGCTTTGCTGCTCATCGAGCAACCATCTTTTGCAATTTTTTAAAAAAAGTATTTGAAACCTCCGAGGCTCACTTGCGTGAAAGGAGAAATAAGGTCCAATAGTTTTGTATGAAAAAAGCTTTGGCCATACTGTAATAAAATAAATAATTAAAGTGGAATATTGCATGACCTCCTCCTGTTGGTGTTCAATTGTTCTTTTTTCTTCTACCTATGCTTTTGGGTGAAAAAAAAGTTAAAATAGTCTTTGTTCATAGTTAACTTCTAAGAACATGATCCAGTGGTTATTTTTCTAACTTAAAAAAAATTGTTTATACTTTCTTTAATATCATTCTAGCCTTGTCTCGTTTCCTCTCTCTTTTCAGTTGGCTCCCAGACCTCTATTGAAGTCGTCATCAGTTCGTGTTCCTATAAACAATACTAGATTTAATTCTGCTCCTGTCAGACGCCCTATACTTGAAGTTAAACGACCCTTTACCCGTAAGTTTTCAAAGTAGTAATAGTAACATTATTATTCTAAATTGAAATTAATTATTCAATCTGAAAATTTGTACAATAAGGTAAACATTCATTCCTCGCATTAGTGAAAAGTTTATTTTTCTGCTCAGTGCATGGAGAAGGCCAAATGCAAAGAATGTGTATTTCAATTATAGGTTACATTGATATATCTCTATTTTCCCATGTTTTTTTTTCCCCCCTAAGCAATCTCATCAAAATTTTTCCTCGCAATTTTGTGTGATTTTTTTCTTAGAATGAGTTTACAGACAATTTCAATAGGAACTGTTGGTCACTTTCCTTCTAAAAAAATGAAACATCAGCAAAGACTTACAATATCACAATCTGAGGCAAATATTTCTTGACCTCAGTCTTTGAAATTATCTTTCAAGGCATACAGATGAGGATTTAATAGGTCAGAAGTGAGAATATTTCTGTTAAATTATTCAACTGCAGCCAATGTTTGCTGCTTGTCTTGTGGATTCTGCATTGAATGTTTTCATACTGGGATGATCATCCCCTCATCTTTATAGCCAGGAAAGCCACGTAAATGGTCAAAATTCTCTAAATTCTTAGTTGTTTCTTTACCCTTTCCTGGATTTTTGATTCTTATATATTTTTTCCGAGACTTTTACATGACATTTTAGTATTTAACCGAAGTTTTAATTTTGCAAGATTTTATAAATCAGTGTAGCAGTTCACAAATTGAATAGAGTGAATTAAAAAGGCTATGCAAAAAAAAAATCCATCAAACTATGCTCATGTTGTAATCAGCATGTTTTTTTTTTTTTTTTTTTTACCCACAGTTGGTCCTCGAACACTGATATCGCAAAACGCCTCTGTAACTAACTTCCGCTCTGTACGCCCATCATTTCACCAATCAATGTCACAGTCACTATCTCTGGCACGAGGTGGAATAATTCAACAACAGAGGAGCTTCCAAACAAATTCGCGTCAGTTTAACGGCACCAATGGCAATGTCATGCAACGGCAATCAGTAGCAACACACCAAATGAGGTACCAATCACCGCAGCAGAGGAACACTCAATATATCAATAAAGTTCAGGTAGTTACTAAGACGGTGACCCAGACAGTAAAGACTGTTGTTCAGCAGAAGAGGATTACCCAGCAGACAACACAGTCTGCAATCCGAAACCGGCCAGTAACCATCTTATCAAAGCCCCAACCTCAACCGAAGAAGATAATACCGCATGCAGATGTTATCACAATTGATTAATTTTTTCTCCCTTTATTTTAATGATGTGCATTGTGGTTCCTCGTGAAGCCCTAACGATTTATTTGCTGTGTCACAAAGAGGTCAAGAGTTTTTAAATTGAGGATAGGGGTAAATAACTGTAAAAATCATCATAAAATTGCTGAATCGGTGCTTTTTTTTAAATTAATTTCTGCAAAGAATGAAAATTACTGTTGTATCATAGGTTAACTTAGAATTGATTGTTCTTTGACTGAAGAAATAACACTCACTGAGTTTTATTTGATCTTGCGCTGTCCAAACATGCTACTTCTTAGATTTTTCTCTGATTCATATTAATTTCTAGGGCACACATTCATAAGTACTGTCCAAAAATTGCAATATAAATTGTTCACAGTATTTGTGGCATGCACAAGGAACTAATAAGGATGGCATAATCATTGTGGTGTGAGTTACCAAAAGTAGCAAAAGCAATTTTGAAATTTGTATCCGTCACCTTAGTTTTTTCCAAAATTTTGAATTAAGTTATCTCAAAAGTAATGCAGTAGTTTCAGTTCTGAGCAATTGGAAAAAATGAACAACATGCAATTTTAACAAGCACAAGCTTATTACAAATCTATCATCACCTTTTTGAGGTCGTTTCGGTTTTCTGTCAAAAATTTTGTGGAGGTTAGATGTAGGGCATTTCCTCTGCAGTGTTCGAAATTCACCTTTGAGTTCTAGGAGCCAAATGGCGCATCAAGCCCGATTTTTAGGCATCATTGAAGATTTTTTAGGGGTCAAATTGACTTTTTGCCTATATATTACGGCGCATTTAGTGAAAAGTTAAATGCACGATGTTTTCGTAACGGAACTAGTAAGTAGCTGTAACTTGGGGGAAGACGAAAGCACAAAGGATTAAATCGTGAAGAATAGAAGAAGCTTTCACTTATAGTGCTGAAAATTTTGAATAACCACCTAATATGAAAATTCAAATTTTTAAGGGGCAATTTTTAGGGGCCAAATTGGCGTAGAGCCTTCATTTTCTAGGCGCCATGGCCGATTTTTTAGGCGCATTTGGCGTACTAGCGCCTGTGAGTTTCGAACACTGCTCCTCTAAGTGATCTCTTTGAAAAATTAAATCACTGTAATACACTTTTCTGATCTTAGAGTATCTCTATCTATGTGTGTTGATAAATAATGTCAAATATGAAAAGAAAAAAAAATCCAATGCTCTTTACCAAAAAGCAGTGCTCTCACTCTCTCTCTCACACACACACTAACACACACTGACAAGTAGTTTAGGATTATGAGTTTTTAGTTCAGTTTTATTTACGTCCAAAACTTCATTCATATGCTCCTTAGTAGTTCGCCTTAATGTGAACTTTAGCAAGCTCAATCAAGCTCACCCAGTATTCAGTAAGCATAGTCTTTACTTTATGGCAGATATTCTGTTAATTTATTGTCGGCACAGTAAGTATGTTCTCACTTTCTTCTATAGTTTGTCTGCCTGGTACTCGTATGTTTAATTTTAAACCGGGAGCAAGTGAGTTCTTAACTTTTAAAAATTTTACAATATCCTCCTAATGTTTTCAGTTTGTTTTTAGATTCAATTCCTAGTTTTACTTCATTGTACTCTCATCAGTACATTACACCCCCATTCAACGGTTGACTTTTATCCCGCCTTCTGTTTTTTTTTCTTTAGTATTTTTTATGTAGAGACTACATTCCTTTTTTTAAGTAAATAAAATAAAAAATAAAAGAAAAGAAGAAAAAAGCAGCAATTGAACAGAATGGGACAATAAACCAATCAAATAACACACAAAGAAATCAATTTCAATACTAGCAAAAATTATTTGAGTAATTGTAACTATTAAAAAAAAGCATTGTTGACTAACAAAAGCAAAAGATGTTCATGATTACACCAATGAACCAATACATTTTTTCACGACCCTTGGGAAGGAAGCTTATTACCGTACTGTATACTGAATAATTTAATTTTTAAATGACCTCACTCAGCCATGTTTTACCTGTAACATGATGAAATAGAGGAAGCACCTAACCAAATTATGGGTGTATGCAAGCAGGGTATTTGAGTTTTGTTCAGGCACTTGTCCATTCTTACAAAAATTTCATTTAGTAGTCTCTGCGTCAGAAGTATTCCTTCAGTCACTATTAAGCTCACATTAAGGGCTTTTCATTTTCATTTGTATTGTTCTGTTTCTCTGGATATGTACCATTTCAATCACGTGATCTAGATTAATCAGGGCACCAATCTAAAAGCTCTTTCAGATTTGTTGGACTCAGGAAGTGGTTTGGGTTTTTCAGTTCTATTTAGGTGTTTGGACATACACATGCTACACAATCTGTCGTTCTTGAAAGTTCCATTTTGTCGCACAGCCTCCCTGAGTGTCAACCTGACAATATCAATCTTTGGTTCTTTTGTCCCTCCGCAACAATTCAGAAACATAGAGGTTAAACTATTTTTTTGCTCTACATTTTCTCTTGATGTGGGTTAAATGAAACAGATTGTATAAAGGGTTAGAAGATTTTTAAGTTGAAGATCAACAAAAGTGTTTTTTAGATGAGAAGCAATTTCTGAATTTTAGTCCCTGCCAAGTCCTAACTGAACACAAAATCAAGGCATCCCTGGGTGATTGTTGCAAATTTGTTGCATCTAGCTTTCTAGTTTGGTAATAATTTGTTATGAATTGGTCTCGGTTTCTCATTTCATCAGTGTTCCTCAATCGTTTTCTTTTTACTTTTAATTTCTTCATCTTTTGTTATCTGATGTATAAGGTATCTGTCTTTCTTCTGTTTAGCGCCGTAGTAAGCTTGATTTAAATTAATTATATTACTTCGGTAATCCTTCTACTTCAGCTTCCTGCAAGATGTGCAAATTAAATCAAAGTGGTTCTAGAGAATAAACCAGAATATTGAGTGTTTATTCAAAATTTATGATTGATTACATTAAAAAATCTTTGTTTCTGGGTTTACAAATATTACATATCTGATTATGATTTTAATTTTTCCCAACATACAACCATAAACTTAGTAATGAATAGGTTCGTTTGATTACATAAGCACAAATCCTACCTTCTGTGTGCAACATCTCTCAATGCAATGATATGCTCATATTTCTTTAACTATTAATACCTATTGTAAAAGTGAATTTTTCAAGATAGCCGTACCATTTCCAAGGAAGAAGCGTGTGAAGAGGAGTTCAAACCTGGGAGGGGGTAATCAACTGATTTGATAATTTAAGATTCAATCTGAAACCAAAATTTATAGGGAAGTAGATCTCAACTTTCATTCGTTTATTTTTTCTTTTCCTCTTTGAATATGTTTCTTTTATATCCACAAAGATCCCTTAAGTAATTTGATTAAGCTCAAATTTCATCAAGGATGTCTTGAACCAAGCCTTTGTTTCTAAAATTGTGTAAAGTATGTTGTATTTGTGTAGACAAATTTTGTATGATATGTAAAATGAATATGTGTACATTTAAATACATTTTTTAATTTTTTGATCTTAACCTTTTTGTTTTACATCGGAGACCACCCGAAGGGGCAACTATTTTTCATTAAGAGAGCAGAAAGACTCAAGTTATATTCTCTGCAAGACGAATGTATGCCCATCACCGAAGTTAGACCATAGAAACACTTGAAAGTTTGAAAGGAAGCCTAATTGCTCGTTGTATACTCAAATAATATAAAAAAAGGACCCCCTTTGAAATAGCAAGGAGCTATTTTTTATGTACGCAGGGTGGCTAGCGACCGGGAAAATTCAGGGAATGCAACTTGACCTGGAAAAGTCAGGGAATTTCGTCAATGGTCAGGGAAGTTTTTGGGGAGCCGGGTTCCATGTAAAAATGGACCCGCGACCGACGGGCCAGCCGATCGCATTGTTGTGCCAATGTTTTGACCACATTAATTCAGTGTTCTTACGTTATCATAAAAAAGTCAGGGTATGTCATTGGAAGGAATCAGGGAATGATAAAATAAAATTTTGCCAGCCACCTTGTTAGTAAGAGTAGGACGAGGAGGTATGATAGAAAAACAAAGCTGAAGGGGGAGGAGGGAATGCTGAAAGACCTGCCACTACTTAACTCCTCTAGAAAAAGCTCTTTCGAAAATTTTTTAATTCCAAGGATTCAAGTGTGGAAGGTATGAGTAAAAATATATTTTCCTCACCATCTCGAAACAGGTGATATCAGGTGGATGCTTTAAAAAGAGATCCACCTTTTCAAGCAGCATTTCAAGAGGCATCCCTTCGATATTAAAATATTCAAAATCGCAATTCGGAGTTATTTTGGAAAGCAACAAGTTAACCGCCGAATTGTGTGGAAATGCCCATTTTATGTCTTTTAAATGCATTATTGTGTTCTGAGAGAAACAGAAATTTACTGAAAAGTAAATTTCCGTTTTTTCTTTATTTTCCAAGGATGGAGGAGCCAGGGCTTGCAAAATAGGGCGGGATCAAAAGTCTGACACTCCATACAGAAATTGCCCTCTGTGATGGCTCAACTTTTCTTCAGGTGAATCAATTTACGCTCTTCCTTTGATTATTGTAACTTGTGCCCTTCGGCAGCATAGGATTTTTAAGTACTTAGTAGGCATGCTCACAATCTGTAAGGTATAGGTACGTCCTTGTTCTCTGCCAATTAGAAAGATCAAAATAATTGTTTAAAATGGTCGAAAAAAAGGAGGACAACTTTAGACCATGGTAACAATTTGATCGATTGAGGCCCATCATGTCTGTGCAGTAACTGCGTGTTCTCCAGCTCCATTCTGTGATTCCCCTCTATTATTTATCGGCTGACAGTCTCTGCCAGTGAAGAGACCACCCATTTAAAAACGGTGACAGTGGCGTCATGAACGAGAAGGGAGATAGAAGAGTAGGAAGCAATAATTAATATAATTTCGGGGGGCCCCACGGCCTCTGCGCGGTAAAAGTGCGGCACAGCCGCTTGCTGGGGGGTAATGACCCCTTCTTCCCCCTCACTCATCTCGAGGATGGCCTTTTTTTAAGGGCGTGTAAATCATCGAAGATAAAGTTGCTTCGTCTCTCCCGAGATTTTATCGAGTTTTATTTACCGAGATTAAGGGCACGGAAGACTGACTTATTCTGTTTTAAGCGGATTAGATAAATACTTATTTGGGTTCATTTATTCCTATTCGGAGATCGAGATCCCTGGATCATATTTAAATTTCGCGGGTTTGGTGTAGATGACGGTGATAGCTGGTTGGTGAAAATTCGTGGCATGACGCCATCTTCCCCTCCGCTATCTTCTGAAAATCGGTGATTTGGGAGTTGAAACAAGTGTCTATTTTAGTGTATTTGAAAAATAATTCAACTTTTCCTCAGAGTTATGGGTGCTTTACATTGAGTTTTTGGTGTACTGTACAATTCAAGACACTGCCGACTTAACCGTGCTTTTGTTCCGTTCCAATGAAGAAACTTCGAAGTAACCCACCCGTTGTTATGTTTCGGGAGTGTGAAGTGTTTGTGAAATTATCAAGCCTCGTCTGCCAGTGCCACTCCTAATATTCTTAATTGAACTTTTTTTAGTATTTGAGAATTCTCTTCGATTCCATGCAATATTTTCACCCCGCACTGTTTCAAGTGAGTATCGTCTCAAATTCGTTTTCCAGCTTCTGACTTCCCCCCTCATTTGGCACATAGCTCACTTAGCATGTTTCTTTTCAGACTGCCTGTGAGCCTCAAAGAACTTTTTTATCTTCAACTATTCTCTCAAAATGGGAGGCTCTTGACTCTATTTTAAAACCATTTGCTATGCTAGGTCAGTATTTTTTAGCATTGAATTCTCTCCTCCTAGCATTTGTTGGTTGCCCCTCCATAGACGTCTGATAAGGCGGGTTGAGCAGTTGAGACATCACCAGTCCTGCTGATGAGTTGTTCTAATTTGATGTCAAGCACTCAATTAGGTATCAAGCAGACTTCACCCTTTTTCATCAGATTAGAAAGCTTCAATTGCAGCTATTTGCACGCTGAAGCAGACTCTTATTTACGTGGACCATATCCTCTCTAATTACTTAGTCAGGAGTAAATAACCTCAAATTATGATTGTGTACTTATGCAATGTATACTTAGCATAATTACTTTCAATTGATACTGAAGCCTCCTTCTCTAAAATATTAGTTTTTATACAGTGCTTGCCCTCCTAGCCCAGACTTTCTTTCCAGATTCTCTAAAAAAAAAAAACTCATTTAGGGTGTCGAAAAGACTTAGTCATCAAAATCAGATCACATTAAATTCCTAAGTTTTTAATCATCACTTGTTATCAATATTACCACTCATTCTAGGTAGCTTTCAATGATGCCTTTGTCAGATCCATAGTTAAGAGCTAAACATCGGTCTTTTGTTCTGAAACCTGTCACAAGGCATAAATAAAATAAACTAATAGGAACCTGCACTCGAACCTTTGTTTAAACTTTCAAAATTGTTTTTATAAAACTCCTCACGTGCATTTAATCCTTAAGGCATGCCTCTGTCATCAGTAATGTTTTAAGTCATCATCATTGAGTCATCACCTAAGTAATAATGTTAACTAGCATATTCTCAAAGAAGGTAGCCTTTGGGTCTTTTCTTTCATATCACATTACGATCTCGAACTTTTCTCCCTGATTCCAGTTACTTTATTATTTCTACGGCATATGGAGTGTAGGGACTGAGACCTAATTCCTATTTTTTCTATATGGTTTTTTGCTGTTGCACCTTACCAGCACTACCTCTGAGAATTTCCACCTGATGTCCTTTAATTCAGTGATATTTTATGTTACCACTTCAATCTGCACTATATTTAAACACAGCTCAATACTGGATATATTCTAAATTTCACTGCATCTTTTATGGTCAATGAGTGATACAATCTTCTCAAAACGGTAGTTAGAAAGTAATCATCTCTCCTTTTACTCATTTTTTTTTTGACAACTCAAGATGAAACATAGAAACAGAGAGGCAGTTTTAGAATCTTCACAAAATTTAAACAGATGGAAAACAAAGGGAAAGAAGCATGAATATTTCAGTGACAGATCAATATCATTAAACAATGTCCGAAATAATGGTTGCCAGACATAACATAAAGCATGCGAAAAAAAAGTAAGTGGATGTTCAGAGGGGTTGGCTCCAATAGGTATGCAATGAAAATTTTGGGATCAGTTTCCTCTCTCCCCATTTTTTTATTTTTACAATGAGGTAAGTATTTTAAAAACTTTTGTATTCAACAACTTCAGTTTTTTTGCTTTTGAATTACAATTATTGAGTGAGAGAGCCAATCCTACATCCGAAATTTTTCAAATTATGTACTGATAGCAGATCTGAATCATTATTCTGTGTAAAAAAGAAATGTTTGATCTATGAAGATCGGCCGTAAGCTGAATAGGTGTTATTCTTAGTTGGTTCAGCTGGAATCTCAACGGAGCAAATCAAACATTTCCTTGAGTCAAGCATTTTCTTGCACATGAACGTAGGAATCAGTTGATGGTAAAACTCACCATTTTTAAAATTTCAAGATAGCAAATAAACCTTCATCACGAAGTATCAGGTAAATGTTAACAAGGTCATCTATGTTTCAGAGTGTGTAAGGTATGTCGTTATCAAAATCGTCAGTCCTATTAATTTTGCTTTGAATTCATGAGCAATTCTAATTTTTGACATGCTAGGTGTTTCAACAGAATGACCAGAGTACCCTCTTAAAAGGTGATTTATGTTTTTTAAGAAAAATCCTCTGAATATTCCTAAGGGTGTGCGAGGTGGGTCATGAGCAGTTCAGATAATCTTTTTTAATTTGTATTAACTTTAAAAAGAAATTTAATTTTTGATTTCTTCAGTTTCTTCATGGAATGGTGGAATAAGGTGATTTTTTTTTTTAAAAAATACCAACTCTGTTTTCAGAGTTTTTTCATTATTTGTATCATACAAGAGAGGTTAGTTTTCTTAAGTATTGTCATGTTATTGTCTGGACTCGTTGGGTTTTAAAGTCAACTGATTCATACATTCATGTAAGCTCCAGTATGTATCCATTGGAATTCTAGGCACCTGTATTTTTCTGAGCGCACCCTTTTTTTGTATCCTAAGCATTTTATAATTAACTGTGTTTGCTCTCCTTTCAGATGCCGTGAGTTTGAAAAATGCCTCTACCAAAACGTGTTATCGAGCCTGTCCATGTTTCCCGAGGCACAATACCACCGGATTTTCCCCTGCCGAGTGAACTCGAGGCAGCAACAAATGGAACTTTAGCAAATGCTGTGCGACAGCTCTCTAGTTTAAGTAGGCATGCAGAAGATTTGTTTGGGGAATTGGCCAAGAGTGTGCATTCTCTTGCCACAAGAGCGGGTTCTCTACAAGTACGGCTTGACCGGTTAGCTGTAAAAGTTACTGAATTGGATAGCAATGTTGAAGAAGGTATTTTTGTCTTTCAATCACTAATTTCATGACGTTTGAACTGTCTATGATAAGGCTAGTCAAATAATTTTAGATCTACTTCTCTTCCTTTCTGTCGAACTTTGACAGTAAAACTACAAAAACCTCTATCTTGATTTTGAGGTTTCAAGATTTCTTCCATTTCTTTCGTCTTTTTAAAAATGTGTTTCTGATATAATATTCTTGCATGATTTTTTAAAAAAAATCCTCATGAACTGGTGAAGAGAAATCCTTCGATAGTTTTTTCAAAATAGATGTTTGAGCAAGCTAACTGTTGATTTGATAAAGTAATTCAGTTCTTAATCGCAAGTCTCTTATCAGCATTTTGTCTCAATTTTTGGCATGATTTATTTTTCAGTTTCATTGCAAGACATCCACATGCGGAAGGCTTTTAAGAGTGCAGTGTCATTCGACCAAGAAGTGGTCGGACGAAAAACAATGCCCACTGCTATGCTAGAAACCTATAATCAATGTGATAAACCACCACCTCTTGATAAATTAAATCCGTACAGGTATGTTGTGCTTCAAATACATCATTCTTTCCTTTGAATATGCTCATGATCAGTTGGTAGCTTGAAGGATGGTTAGAACCTTTGGTAATCCCTCTGCATGCTTTTATCAATATTTTTGTTGTTGATTGATCTCTCTCCTTTTTTGAGTAACTTAAAATTCTGACCTCCTTCAAAGAAAAATCTAAATACATTGGTCTCAGTTGTGGGTGAAGGAAAACAAGTAAGAACGTTAAACCGACTTGTCTCTGATGGCTTGTTCGACTCGTATGTCACAGGTCTGTGTTGGAGACTCTGTATTTGTAACAGTGGGAGATCTCACTGCTATGTCCACACTTGGTTTCTCTCTACCATGGGTCCAAGTAAAAAAATCTCAAATTTCTAATATACTAATTCATAAAGGCATCCGGCACCCTGTATACTTAATTTTAACATTGAATTTTCATATCATTGCCAAAAAATTTGAACACGTTGCGTATCCTGGATGAATCGATCCTTCATTTTCTGTTCCACCCAATAGTTATGTCCATGGTATTTCTAATTCTCATTGTTTTTTAAATTTTACAGAGAGGATGGTAAAGATGGTTTGAAATTCTACACTGACCCTAGTTACTTCTTCGATCTTTGGAGTCAAGAAACGGAAAAAGAAACTGAAAGAGTCATGCATGACAGAGGAAAAAAGGTTTGCTGAAGCCCTTTGAAATACTTTTCTGACAATCCAGAAATATTACTCGTTTACTTAATGTGCATGTTTCCCTTGTGTTTTCAGTGCAGTAGCGGGTTTTTTTTCATTTTTTCTTTCTTTGTGTGTTTAAAAGTACATATAGCAAGTTACTGTACAGTGGAATTGGGACAGTTTAACTTGATTTTTCTAAATTTTGATCTCTCAAATCTTAAAATTCAAATATTTTTGAACATTTTTTGGATTTTCACAAGACACTATAAGTTTACAAAAGTTGCCTTTGTTCAATGAAAGTTATTACTATATTGTTGAGTAACTTATTGACAGTCTATCAAAAATCATTTGTTTTTTACACCGTTAGAAAGCCCAGACAACAACCTTTTCAGGCATGTATTAGAAATTGGGCATATCTGTGAGAAAAGAAAAAAAGAAAGAAAAAAAAAGGCGCTAAATTCTAATTTTGAGATTCCTAACTCAAAATGGGACCTTTTAATTGCATAGGAAATAGCACAAGAGGTTGATCAAACTATTATGCACTAGGTTTGTGCTAGAAATTAGCTGAAAAAGTTGAGTCTATTTCAAGGTATTGTGATGGCTCTTTTTAGAGCCTGCAGGGTTTTGAGCAGTGGGAAGTCTGGCAATTGAACAATAGGTTGAATAAGCTGTGTTGTCAGTTTAACCTCGCGTTGTATACCATTCTGTCAGAGATGCGAGCAAACTGGCAGCATAGCTTATTCAGTCTCAAGTCCCATGGATAGACTTTCAGGAACTCATAAACGTAATTGTTGACTCCAGCAAGTCAGCTCCATGAAATTTTGCACACACCTAGATGCTACCTCAGATGATCAACCTCTTATACAAGTTTTGAAGAAATTAAAAGGTCCATTTTTGAGCTAAGTAGAGCAATTTCAAAATTATGCATATGTGCAGATTGCTTTATAGCACTTCCTGGTGCTCTATGGCATGTAACCTCCAATGCCACCTTTCAAACCATAACGCTTCGGGCATCAAGCACCTTAACATTTCCGTTTCAATCCCATTCCTCCAACCTCTCAATGGGCGCCTTTTACGCCCTCTCTCAGGAGAAACCCAATCAAGAATCTTCCTTGACAACCTATCTTCTTTCAAAAATTTCAAAATCAGCTTCCAAAAAAAGAAAAAAATATGACTTATGCGCAGTTTTCTTACAAATGTCTATTAAGCTCTTTTTCTGGACTTTTAAACAGTGCTATAATGGTTAATTTCTTGTTTAGCTCCTTTTCTGGGCTTTCAAACGGTGTGGAAATTGTTATTTTTTTGTAAATTGTTTATGAGTTACACATGAAGATAGTGCTGACCTCCAATCAAAGGAACACAACTTCAGCAAATTTTCTGTGTCTTTTAAACGCTCAATGGAAGGGCAAAAAAAGTGAATAAATAATAATAAAATACAAAAAAATACATTTCAACTTGGCTATGCCTGCACATTTAGTATGTTAAACCTCATGAAATTCTGAAGAGATCAAACCTCCTGGAGGCACCATTTGTTCTTGTATGACCCGATTGTTAACCACAAACAGATTTTGCAATGAATTGATAAAGAAATTGAAGTATGCGGTAGGTAGACCATAATGATCGATTTGCTAATTCTAATTATTTTTGCAGCCGCACAAATATCGAAGAGGTCAAGATGGGACAGGTGCAAATGGAATCGGGAATAGGCACAAAAAGCATGTTCGACAGCCACACAACACTCGAGAGAGGCAACGACAGTTGGCCGTTGGCCATGGAGAATACATAATGTCGCAAAACACACACTATCGAACACCACAGCAGGTGTTTGATTTAAGCCATGAAGAGGCCATGATGGGGGGCTACATCATGACAACAGACATGCGACCCAACAGACCCAATAGTATTGAGCTCAGGAGAAACTACCCGGAACATGTTACCGATGCCATCTACACACCAAATAATATACACTACAGGTGACGACCTTTTGTTTCATTTCTCTCTTTGTATCTTCTCGTTCAGTGTGCGCTGAAGTAATTTCTCTTTAAAAAAATTACAAGAATTATTCTCATAGTAATTTTTGCTAGCTTGAACTTAATGGCCTCTGCAGCCAATGCATTTTTCGTGGCAGAAAAATGGTTTGAAATTAGAGGAACAACCAAAAAGTAATACTGCAGTGTTTTGGGTTTTAAATATATCTATGACAACAAGCATTGCCTGGCATTGTTTTTTCCCCAAGTGTAATGCTTAATGGCAACGAACAGCTTTAAAGTTTTCCAGTTTGGACCATTTTCAACGTTCTGGTTGGTGCTCTGCTTTCCCCCTCAAAACTTAGGAGCCACCTTGGGGAGAGAGAGCCTAATTTTCAGGAGCCATCTTCAATTTTTTAGGAACCAAATAATAATCTTTTTGCGAACGCATCTTGCACTGCTGCTGCTTTGTGATTATGAGTTCGAAAAAATCGACGGGGTGCGTCAACTTATTAGGCGCCACTGTGTCCCAACCTTTCCAATCTCTAGGCGTCAAAATCCAATTTTCAGGCGCACTATTTGGCACATGGTGCATGAGGAGGTAGAATACTGGTTTTGGTGTTCACAAGAACTGTATAAAATTAGTTTGTTTCATTTAAAGTGTCTGTTCAAAACTGATTGCATCATCAAGGATCAACAATTATTGATCTCCTGAACCATTTTTTAAAATGGATTAAGGTGATTCTATGTGATCAAGGAATGAGATACGCCACTATGCTTCATGGTTCACTTAGCTGCTTCACGATTTACATCTTTTAGAAGCATTAATTATTGTAATGTACAAGATAATGCAAAAAACTGATCCAGAACTCGCAGCAGCATTAATACTGAGTAGAATGACAATAAGTTTGTGAAGAGTCATTGAAAATTTATTTTAGTAACTACGATAACGGACGGCGCCCATTGCCTCAAAGTGTGAAAAAGATTTATTGTAGCACTATCTCTCTCTTACACATTGAGTCAATAGGCGACGTCCAGTGTAGTAGTTTCAAAAATAAATTTTCAATGAATCTTCACAAATTTGGTGTCATTCTACTCAGTATTGATGCTGCCACAAGTTATGGATCAGTTCCTTGTATCAACTTGTCCATAACGATAATTATTGCTCCTCAAAGACACAAATAGCATAGCAGCGCAACGTAGTGAAGAATCTTGCCCCTAGATCACATAGAATCACCTTACGAAAGCCAATCATATCAGTGAGACTTATGTTTCCTATTGTGTATCTCAGTAGTCTCGTTCTAATGTTCTTTTCTATCTCGCCGCAGGAGTACAAACAATGGTATACTGGGAGGAATGGGGACAATGGTATACGATGAAAATCAGCTGAATTATGGCTCTCCTCAAATGACAGGGAACATGGTGTCCCACTACGGAAGCAATGCCATCCTCTCGCCAGCCGAAAATTGTGTTAGTCCTAGTCGCCGAATACGGCCAAGCCAACCTCCACCTGCTCCACCTTCCAATAGCAATTCCGCCTCAAGGTGAGTCAGGTTACCTCTATTTTTCCATCTGAAGGCAGAGGTAAAATTGGGGAAAACGTCTACTTTAATTGCAATGTTGCTGAAGTTGTTCTGTGTGAAAGAGTTCTCTGCTCATATTTAATTTCCCAAGATTGTGCCATTTACCTTCATGAAAGACGTGCGCAATCTGTAGGGAAACTCGGAGATCAGGCGAATTTAAGGTTAATGTCATGAATGTCCATTCAGTAATTATTGAGCAATTTATCTTTTAAGCTCCGAAATGATAAAACTGTTTTTACCCTCTGCCTCTCTCAATTTTACCTCAGATAGTTCAAGAAATGAAACATGTTGTCAGTTGTTAGGAAAATTCAAGGGCAAAGCAAAGTTTAGATGTCTTAATTATCAGAAACATCCGCTCAATTTTTGTGAGGCACTTCATTAACCTGGTTTAGTGGTGATCAAACTATTTCACCCCCCTTCAATTTTTCGTTCAAACGTTTCTTTTGCTCATCCTAGTTTTAAATTATGAAACGTTTTAAGCAAATGTATGAGCTGGTATTCTTTACGTAATCTTGATTGCATAAATAATGCTGCAACGTCTCAATAGAGTTACGCAGTTTTCAGAGATAATTGTTATTGTTCATTCTTCACTGTCCATGAGAAAAAGAACCCAAGTGCAAAGAAGCAAACTTTCAGGAGAGTGTTCATTTGCAGTAATTTTTAAAGTGAGTGTAATATCTTCATTTCTGTGCACTCGCACTGGATATAGGTAAATCTGAAATGGGGAAAAAATAAATTTATCTTGTCATTATTGCTAACTGCTTTTTTGTCCTTTATTTTTTCTAGTACTCCCTTGGTTGGGTCTGTATCTAATACACCAACACGCGGAAGGAGTGCCAGCACCGGTCGAGATACGCTGCCACCTCCTCCTCCTCCTCCCATCGAAACTCCAACGCCTCCACCAATCGAACCGCTTCCACCTCCTCCTGCCCCTCTTCCTGTGATGCCCCCTGCACCGTCTCCCCCTAGAGCTTGCTCACCCCCTGCACCACCACCTCCACCCCCTCCCCCTCCTCTTCCAATGATGCCCAACGGCTTGATTCCAACGCTCAATGGTGATGTAGCCAAAAGCCCGAAACAGGTAGGTTTGGTTTCATGAACTCCTTCTAAATGTTTATGTCATCATTGTGATTAACACGCAAGCAGCACTTGTTTTAAAAAATCTTTAGAATGATTTTTTTGGAGCTGAAGGATAGTCCTTCAGTTTAAGGTAGAACTCCTGTAGAGGAACTGAATCACAACAATTTGTAAAATATTTTTATTTTTAAAATATTATGAAATATTTCTTGTCACAACTTTAAGATGTTAATTAGTAAAACTGTTTATGAGCAGTGATCATTGTTTTGTGGTCCTTGGCCCAGGAAGAGTGAGAAAATTTATGTTCAGTTTAAATATTGTCTAACCTTTTGTTAAGACGTTAAAGTTTCCTCCTAGTCAAAATGTGCTGCTAATCCGTCAAAGCGGTTGTATCATGCATGTTTTATCAAGACAATCAACAAATCATGCAATGCTTTGTGCCATTTGTTACATTGATAGTTGCAGTGCCCGTACAAGGTTCCAAATAATTATATTTTTCAAAGTAATAATTCTTGATGTTGAAACAATAATTTTGGCCAATGTCCTTGAGTTTTTACATTTTCATAACCATCGGTTGACCATATCACCTCTACTAAATCTTTCTCTTGGAGTATTAGTGAGACACGAGTCGATCAGAGCAGCTTGAATACTTAGTTCGCTAATTTTCTCCAGGACCTCAGTTTGTAATTTCAGCTTTGTGAAGCTCCCTGTGCTAACCCTCCAAATCACTTTTATTTCATGATCTTAGACTTGTATTTTAAACAGCAAATAGTACTTTTGTCAAGTTGAGTTACACTTAAGCTGTTACCTCAAGCTTATATTTACAAGTGTGTACATTACATCATTCGGAAATGTTAATATGAGCAAGATTCAAAATGGAATTTTAAGTATAGTTACCGTATTCTGTTGTCTGGAGTGCCTTTAATTGGAGAAAACTCGGCTATGCTTGTTTCTTTGAGGCAAAAATAGGTTTCTTAGCAGGTATTTAAATGTAGTGAGTCAGTCAACTAATTTTTTACCATTGTATTATTCGAAAGTACTTAGTTAGCCTAACACTAGAACTTAGTACTTACAATTTGCACTGAGTGCAGGAGAGGTTGCTCAAACGGGTTTAGGATTGGGTACTCCTTGGAAGAAGGTGACAAGAATGTCCCATGAAGGGATGGTAGCGAGGCATCAATGGAGAGTTCTAAAACCTGAGACGAGGCTTGCACAAGCAGCGTTTAAATATCACAGTGTGCCAGAGTTTGCTGTTGGAGCGACTTACGTATACACTCAGTGAACTGAGCTTAGAGTTATTTTCCTTCTCTTTTATTTTTTTCCTGTTAATTTTGGCAAGTAGAAGAAATATTGGTTTGAAAATGAATAAAATTAAAGCAGCCAATAAGGTGGTTTCAGTAGCTCAGAAAGTCAGACAAGTAGCTTGATTCAATCTGGCTGCAGAATCAGTAGCTGGAGAATACATGATGATGTAGTGGAATGTTTTTTTTCAGAGTGAGATTCAAGGTTCATTCGTTTGTAACCATGACGCAAAGCATGGTCTTTCTTGCGTATACCTCGAAACAAATAACATACGAAGTCCCTATACAGCGTACTATGTAACAGAAACTTACTTTTATGTTGTCATTTGCCGTTAACTTAATCCTAGGCGCCATGACATCATACCATCAATCCAAATAGAAGCATGGTAGTAGCAAATAGGTAGGCGTCGGGGGTCAATGGAGTCAATGGGTAATTTGCCACCAAGCTTAATGAGGTGTATTTATTGTTCTCTAGGTCTTCTTGGCGTAGAATTTTCTCTCTAAACACTTCCCAGTCATGTATTCTTCAATTGAGGTACCCATTAAAAAAATTCAGTAGTTCTCTTTTCTAGTTCTGCCATTTTATTTTAAGCAATTTAGAAGAACCCATGCTAACATCAAATATGATATGACCAAAATTATTTACTCTGTTCTAAGAGAAACTCAACTCGTCTGTGTTGTAGCCTCTGCAGTGGCTAGACATGAAACTTTCGTGTTTCTTCTACCCTCTGTAATTATTGATACGTCCCTTACTTTTTGTTACTGAGCTTTTGTTTCACTTTTTTGCAGATCATTCCAAACTCGCCGCCAAAACAAACAGAAAAGAATAGTGCGATAAACCCCCCTGCCAAAAATAAGCCAAGCGCCCAAGTGTTGCAACATGACCCTAGGAGCGATTTACTGAAAGCCATCAGAGATGGTAAGTATTACTCTGAACTGAATAATGAACACAGGTACTTTTTCAATAAAAAGGAATAATGGAAGATAAAAGTTGCCAAAAGGTGTATGACAATGGGCTCTGAATTCATAGATTCATCTGTTGTTGCCAGGATTTTCTGCACTACGCGTTTTGTTGTCAACAGATGAAATATCATGAGCTCCCTCTGAGGCATAACTTGCAAAAACTGGACATGAATCCATCCATCATCAATTGACTAGTTATTTTTATTTTTTTTTTTTTACTACTCCATTATCCCACGTATGGTAACCCTGCGCTTTTTCAGTCAGAGCCCCACCCCCCTCAGTCTTAACTGTACAACCAGCCCTAGGCAACCAATAGAGCCTATCAAACTCAGGTTGCTCAGCTAGGAATCGAACCTGAAACATCCTGATCAAAAAGCCAGTACCACAACTGCTACATCACATAAAGCGGACAAAATTGCCAAATTCTTTTAATTGCGTATGAAAGTAGTATCTTTTCCTCTGAAAAAATCTGATATCTGCCTTTAAGGTTATCTATTTTTTGACAGATTCAGAATGGACAGTTTTAGGACGCTTTATTTTTGTGCATTTTTCTATCACCACCCACAGCTTTACCTCACAACAAAGCTACATAAAAAGATTCTGTTCAGGACTCTCAAAAGTTGCATTTTTCACCGTGATAATCTATTTATCTTTGCTTCCAGGTATCAAACTTAGGAAAGTGGAGAAAATAGAACAGAAAGAAGGGGAACGTGTGAATGCTCATGATGTTGCATCAATCCTTGCACGGCGAGTTGCTGTAGAAGTGTCGGACTCAGACTCTGCTTCTGCCTCAGAAAGCGAATACGACAGCGATGGTTGGGTCGACCCCCATGAAACCAGTGCTTAATCCATGTATCTATGTATTTATCTACAGAATATCTTGTATCACAATGCGAGACGCGTACTTTAATGCTTTGTATTTACTATTTACATACAATTTGTACTATACTGATAGCATATTATTAATACTTATCGTGAAATCTTAATCATTCTAAGGGTCTATTAGTTAATTTTAATTGTTAATCTAATTATTTTATTCAAAACATTTCATAAATATCTAGCTTTGTCTCTTTTATACTTTTGATCGTGGTATGGCCCCCGTGCAAAGTTTCACGAAGCCAACCATCGAATTGATCATTGAAACCCTTGAAAGTAATAAACTATGCAAGTCAGTTAGAAGTTTTCAAAATTTCTGTTGGTATTTTATTGTCTTCATTGCTCAAATTTTTTAACAGGTCTTCTGTTTTTTATTGGTGCCAATAAAAATTTCAGAACTTCTTGGGAGAAATAGTGTAGTTTTTCTCTTTTTTTTCTTTTTTTTCGTCGTCATAGGCATTAAAATTAAAACATACATAACATTTAGAAGAAAAAAACCTAAGTTCTAGAATAAATTTTTTTCTGGAAAGTGTTTTTTGTCAAGTCAGGTGAAATAAATAGTATGCATTTAAGTTGTAACCGGAGAACACTCTTTAGCATACCAAGACGTATTTCGTTTGAAGCAACCGAGCTGCTTCCATTCTCATGTTCTTTTCACTTGATTTTGAACAGTCGATAAGAGAGCATCACTCCAGGTTGCGCCTAGAAACAGTGTTTCCAAGTGTTACTGTAAACAACACAAAAAACATCTCCTGAGGACATAGTTGTTGTTGAAGAACAATAGTTACCTTACGGCTTTCCAAATTTTGTGTTCGAAAATAAGCCTTGTGCCCATGATGTAAAACGAATTTGAACAAAATGCAATTGTTGCTTGTTCTCAGCTAAAGTTCCAAATGTTGTTTGCTGACAAAATACGCAGAGATTTGCGAATAATTAAAGTTGCATTTTATTCCAAAAATTTCATTTTCTAAGCCAGGCAGGTTAGACCTTCGAATTGCTTTTCCTCAAACTTAAATTTTTCAACAGCTTCTTAAGTTTTGTTTAATATTATTGAGAGTTTACGAAGCAAAATATTTGGTAAAAACTTCAGTGGGTCTCTTAGAAAGAAAATCAAGTTTGTTTAGGTTTAAAAAATTACATTATAATTTCAGGTATTATGTGCATTTTTACAAAGTACACCTTATCAACAAAACACAAATAAAAACAAAGTGTAAATGGGGAAAATGGGCACAATAAAAACAGGGTTTCTCTTTGCTTACTGGAGAGCTAGAGAAGGCTTAAAAATAGTAGGCAAAATGTGAAGTACCATAAATTAAAGAGGACGGAGTGAGAAGAAAACAGAAAAAAATTGACCTTAACGCTGGCAATGAATCAATTTTTACTCTTGGAGGGTGATGCTTTTAGACATGAGAACATGTTGCATCCTTTATGAGACAAAAAATTGAAGTTTTCTTCATAAGGACTCTCAAGAATGAGAGATTTTTTGGGGGAGATGAAAATCCATTTCATTGCAAATAAATCTTATCTAATCAAATGCTTTCCTCGGCCTCTGAAAATTAACTGGACATAAGTTAAAATCAACAGGGGGGAAAAAAACGACAATTTGTGCGCAGAGGCCGGTTTTGTAGGGAATCTCTCAGAGAAAAGAAATTTCATCAATTTTCAAAATCAAACTAAAAAAACCGTATTCCAGAATGAAACTGAGCACCTTTGATATTGAACTGCTCCCTTTTTGAATTTGATGATGAATGAATTCATTGAGTGATGGATGGATTTAAAAATATTACTCCAAAGATCAGAATTATTTATACCACTAGGCGAAAAGAGTATCCAAATTTTTCAGCAAAACAAAAGTAAGAAGTGTACTTCGCCAAGTTTTTTACAGATTTGATAAAAATACAAATCTGGCACAGCTAATACTTCCATTAATTTTAAAAACCAATGAGTCAAAGAGTATGCATTAATTTATTTCAGGCTACTTTAGTATAAATGAAACATCAAGATTTAACATTCGCAATTCCTCTAATTACATATCAGGGAAACTTCGCTCTTCCTGCCAGTTTTATTTTTAATGGTCCTTCTTGCTTCATCATCTATTCTTTCCAAGGTGCCAAATATTAGTTAACTCTCAGCCGCAAAATTACTTCTTTGTAGGGGAATTATCAGAACTCACATTTATTTGATTAAAATGAACCAGATTCAATTTTCAGGGCAGTATCCATTCGACCAAAAATTTGTAAAAATCAGTAAAAAACACTGGCGGACGGAGCAGATGTGGTTGACATCAGAATACAAAGACAATGGTTGTGTTACCATAAAAAAGAACATTCAGGGAAAAATAAAATATTAAAATTTCCTCCACAATGGATACACTTCAATTAAGGCACAATTTAAGTAGGTAAATATTATTTGGCATAAAATCAACGGGTATTTACATTTTAAGAGGTGAAATCTTAATACTCTACAAAGGTAGCTTGGGTTACTCTGCAATTTACATTTCATTCATACAGATTCTTACACGTAATATACATGATCATTTGCGTTAAAAATGCTTAGAGCTCCCGTTAGATCAGTTAACAGTTGTTTACTTTCCGTTTCCAGCCATGGAAGATTTACTGTAGCTGTTTGCAGGAACATGAATCAGTCTACTTCGCTTGGCAGTCAAAAGTAAACAACTGTCAACTTATCTGGCGCAAGTTCAACTTCCAGCTACGAATAACACAGTTCATTCAACTGATCATATGAATTTCTGACTTGGCATAAGAAAATTCACAAAGCAAAAGAAAAAATAACATATATCAACAGATAGATGCAACGTTTTGGAAGCTCCTTCAGAAGCTCTTCTTCATCTAAAATACTAAAGAAGGGCCAAAAGATCACAGTTTTTTATGCATACAAATTTGGGAGAGTATCCTTTAGGACACAATTAAAATAAGCTTTCTAGCCAAAAAGTAATGAAATGCATTGAATACATGAACAACTTTGACAAGATCTAATGGAAAACAAAGAAAATCTCTTCTTTCTGAATGTAAGAGGTCAAAATTCCTTGATCAAAAGTGACAGTCTCTATTACTTACTTCTGTTCTTAAAAGCTATGAAATAAGTTGATGGCTTCCTGCAAAGTTTTACATCTGTTTTTATATTTTCATTTTTTGTTCCCTCGTCTTTCATCTGGTGGAAGGCCAACAATTCACTCGAAATATTTCATTGGAAGGAAAAGTATTCGGGATAATTGTAGTGTCTGTTGGTTTCCTATTAAAAATTGAACAACAGAAGAAGTTCTTGAATGGGCAACTTTTTCTCGAAAGAGCTATTGCACAAAATGGTTGATACCCGAGTATTAATGAAATAAAACTTTTTTGCTGTCAGCAAAAATCTGGTACCAGCAATATAGGCTGGTATTGCATAGATTAACAGATAAAACTGACTATTAATTTATTGATTTTGTAATAATTTTCTTCTAAATTTTAAAACAAACAAGAATAGCTTAAAATTGCAAATTTAAGTAAAGCACAACACAGAGTATTACAATTTTATGGCTTGTGTTCAGAATTTTAAGCTAATTTCCGCGAGGGATGGAAGCTAAAATTTTTTACTACAACCTCATTACCAAGAATCCATTTTTAGTATGACTGAACTAATCTGGAAACTCATTTAATGTGTTCAAAAGGTCCTAAATCAGGTATGAAAAACAACTTTGGGATCTGGTGCACTTCGGGCAGAAAATGGAAGATTTGACATTTTTGCTTTTCTATCACTGGAAAATGAGGCTGAAAGTAAACATCGGAAACACATAGATACGGCAGTCCACAGGAAATAGTATGTTAAATTGATTAAAGTTCATTTTTGGAGACACTCGCTCCATTTAAATAACTATGTAATTAAAAAAAAAAAAATAGATTCAAGAAACTATTTCTAAAGTTTTTTTTTGCACACATCAATTGACCTTGGAATCATGTCATTTCTCTGCGTCCACGAATTGGAACTTTTCTAAGTTTTATCCAAACAGATTACCAGATATCAGACCTGCCTACAGTAAACTATTTTCTTCTTTCTGAAATTTTTTGAAAACTCGATGTGTGACATTGAATAAATCTAAAAGGTTCACCAAAAAATAGAATTTTACGTCGGAGATTTTGATTGATATATGTATTACAAAAAATTAAACCATAAATTCTTCTTTTAACTGCAACAAACAGAAAAATTTGCTTCCCTGGCAATTCTCGTGGTCCCTACACAAAACTTCACAACAAGGCACAGAATCACTAACAAATTCGATAAAAATACTAAAAATAAAAACAACAAATTCTACAAAAATATTGAGTCGAGGAAAAATAGAGAGTAAAAGAAAGTAGATAACAATAATTTTATAAAATACACTCTTTTCATGAAAATATCAATTTTCTTTTGCCACTTTATTCAAAGATAACAATCAGACAGCCAATAGAAAGTAGGTACTATTCTAGACACTAGACAATAGGTACGGCTAAGGATGGTATCGTATCTTCCATCTTTTCTGGCAACTTCAAGGATGTATAGCTCATGATGGCAGGACATCTCAAACACAACTGAATTTGACACCTGCAACATAGATTGTGGATTTTAGTTGTTAGAACATGGAATTTAAAGTATGAAGAATATTTCTAAAAAAGTTTCAGTGGTAAAGAGCAACTCATACCTAGACTCCCAAGACCAGTCAATAAATAAGTACAGTGCATTGCATTTTTTCTATATCAGACTTGTCACAAAGACCTAAGTGAAAATCCAGTCAATTTTGTTACGTCTAGTCCGTTAAGACACATTTTTTAAAACTCATCATCGGCATAGATCAAGTGGTGCACTTCATCATTGCTTTGGGAAGGTTCCCTCTCGAATATTTAGAAAATACTTCGAAAAGATATCTATTTTATCACAGTATCAATTGGACCACGTTAAGTAGAAAGGAACCAAGCCACATCAGCTACTGCCAAATTTAATTAGGCAATTTAATTTTTCATTTGAAAACGGTTGTGCGGATTTTTGTGTAAATTTCAGTGAAATTTCTGCACAGTACAAAGCAAATTCCTTGGATTTTCAAAGGTATCCGCATGAACATTTGCTTGTAAAAAAATTAAGTGCCCAGTTAAATTTGGCAATGGCTGATGTGGCTTGGTTCCTTTTTGCTCAATGCGGTCCAATTGGTGCTGTAATACACTGCACTTCTAACCTCTGGAAAAAAGTCACTTTATTGAAGTTCATCTGTCAGTGAACTTAAAATTGAAAGAAGAAAATCTGTTCATCACAGTTTCTTTTTCTTTTTCGCGAGATGAGTAAAATCCGTTCAACTTTTGGCTGATGCCTCCATGAATTCACATGACAGATGTCGTCTATGATGAGTTCATCAAATTGAAAGATCAAATGGCTTAACTACTTGGAAACCTTGTCCCTCAATTGCGCTCTCATATTTTGATTTTTCACAAGAAAACCAGTAACTTTCATTGCTTGTTATTTTTAAAGAATAATTTTCAAGAAAAGAGGGAAAATAATAAAATTTCTATGAAATTATACAGGTTATTTTTCCAATTAAAAAATGTGAACAGGAAGTCTGCCTTGTTAAAATCAAGGTATGTACATTGGACCACCCGAATAAGTTTACAGTCTTTCAATGTGCTTTAAAAAATCTGTCGTACTCATTTCAGTACTGCGGTAAATAAAGGAATCTACAAAGTGAATGTTCTGTTTAATTCTAAATGTCAGTAAATTTATTTTAGGACTATTTTTGAGTTTATAAATTTTCAAAATTTTCCAAAGAAATCTACATCTCAGATGGTTGTATTCTTTTCTTGACACTATCAGATATTGGAGGTGATAGGCAGTAAATTTTTACTTTTCTACAGTTTGTAGCTATTTATCAGTTTTTAAGTGCACTCCGACTAAAAATGGAAAAAAATACTCACCATCTTCGCTAGAATAGCAGTTATGGCAATGGAGCTTGTTGTTCCGAACTCGAACATCAGTTCCCATGAGTCCATCTCCAAGTTGCACCTGGCATACGCAACACTTAAAACAGTCTATATGATAGAACAATCGTAGACTTTCAATAACCATTGCAGCTCCACGTCCTAGAGAGGTATCACAAAAAGTGTAAAAGTGAGATAAAAACATCATGAAATTTAATCATCAAAATAAATATTCTTGTCATTAATTTTTTGCTCATCTTCTTTTCTTCTTGGCAAGAAAACGTTTCCAGAGAGCTCCTGACTTGGCTGGATTTTTTTCTTCTTTTTTATGGCAGTCTTGTGGGAAAAATTCTTGAAATCATTTTAAGTTTTAAACGTAATAAACCCTGTAAGTTCATAAAAAAAAATTCTACGTACTTACTCAAAAAATTTACTAAATGATTTCATGACTGAGAGATGGTTCAGTCACTTTGATATCTTCAGACTCTTTTTGAGCTTGTGAAAAATAGATTCACAAAATTTAAAGGTTTGCTGTTGCTTAATTGATTACTTGGGGGGAAAAAATGACAAATGAAAGAAAAAATTGGATAACATCAGATGCAGTTCTAGACAGATTTTGGGTAAATTCGTTTGATTGATAAAATCACACAAAAATAGATAAGTACTCAGATATTGGGGGATACTTTTCAACAAAGTAAAATACGAACCTAATTCATCCCCACAATGGGAGCACTTTTTCTTCCCACTGACACTCAGTATTTTCTCCTGATGATTGTCGCTATTCCCTGAATGGGCAGATCTGTCTCTGGTTTCTGTTGGTGGTGCTTCAGGCCTTGGCTGACTGCTGAAAATTCCAAAGACAAAAGACACTTAGAATAGAGGTACAGACTTATTTTAATAATACTTGCCAAGCAATGGAAAAAAGATCTCCAGCATTTTCATTGTAGAGTTGATTTTTATACAAAGTTGATAAAAATGGGTCTTCATTAAGACAAACGAATATGTAGAAACATATGAGTCATGTGCTACTTTAGAATTTAAAAATATTACCTTTCCACATAGAAAAAAGAGTGTCACTATTGATGGACGTATTTTTTCTAAATGGAACTAAAAGATGCTGATAAAAAGTCAACACTCAGCCAATTTTCTACGATGCACCGTTTTCGCACAATCAGCGATGGAAGTTTCGATAATTACTTGAATAAATGAAGGCAGCACTGCAATATAACAAAGAAAACTCCAGCTGGTGAGTGGAAAGGAAGAGAATGGAAGAGAGACGAAAGGAACTGATTTGGACGGTGAAACCAGGTAAAACGAAAAGGCTTGCGGAATCTGAGATAAGACTACCACTTGGCATTGTAGTGGTACCTGAACATGCTGAGAGTTTCCTGTTTTTTCCTTGTTTTCAGCCAGTGCTGAAAGGCAGAGAGATCTTTCTGACTCTTAATCGCTGCACTGCCTTCATTTCTTAAAGTAATTTTTGAATTTTCAAACGCAGACTGTGCGAAAATGGTGCCTTGCAGGAAGTTAGCATTATGATGACTTTTGATCAGCATTTATAGACTAATTTAAATCAATGCAAAAATTGAAAATCAAACAGGGCACACATTCCCATAAGGAGTGACCGGGGTCCTTTTAAATTCTCCATAGGTATTTTAGCACTTCTTGTCATAAGACTGCCTCTTAACAACCTAAGAGCATGCGTTGTAAAAGCTTGCCTTCATGCGACACGCTTAAAAATAATGCACTATATCATTAATATAATGCAAATAAAATGCATCAGTTCATACCTTCTCCTTCCAGGGTCACTCATCTTATTCGAAAGCGACATTTTATTCTGGACCCTCTGGGTTAGGGTCTGAATGATTGAGACAGGTAGAGGTTTCTCTTTGTCATGCCCTGAGTTTCTTCCGTTCTTCCACTGGTCTGTTTGATGCCCTCCATTCCACTGTTGATTTTTGTTATCAGACCGCTGGCCGTTATTATAGTTATTCCAGTCATTATTGGCTCCAAAACCTGGTCCTGTCCAGTGGTTGCCGTTGGCAACAGGCCGCTCAGGCACATTCCTGCCATTCCACTGTTGTTGCGGCCATTGTTGAGAGTCGCTCCACTGCTGACACGAGTAGTTAGTTTGCCACTGCTGGTTTGCATTCTTATCCTGCCAATGGGGCTGAATCCACTGATCATTTATATTCTGCGGGGGTGGCGCTGTTGTGGAAGTTTGAGGATAGTTTGAGTTGCTTTTTGTTGAAGGGTACGAAAGGCGCATACTCTGGTCAGTCAGTCGCCTATGTTCTGCTTCCTGCAAAACAAAACAAAAATTGAGAACAACAATTGATCGATCTTTTAAAAAATCAATTACCAGGACAGGGCATGTTAGAGTCCACGCCAAATAAGTTAACGCACTTTTAGACTGCGACAGAAGATCCACCATCTTGCTTCTTGCATGTATTTTGCAAAAAGTGAGTCTCATGTAAAGGTGATGTCAGACAATCCTCTGTCACAATCTAAAAGTAAGTAAACTTACTTGCCATGGACTCTACTTATATTTTATTCAACCTCCATGATTCCAGAATGTTTCTGTAGGATATCATTAGATACGAGAGTTTGTTCTTCATTAAAGACAGAGAAAAAAGAGAAACCTTTCCACTTGGACTTCGAATCCAAGTTCATGATGTTGTTCAGTATACAATCAATTATTATTCATTCTGTTTCTAATTTTCTTCCTCTCTTTGTAGGTCTTCCTCACATTAAATTTAGCATTCATTCATTTTCTGAGCTTAGCTTCAATTACTTACATCCTTTTCAGGATAAAGAGGCTGTCACTTCCTAATGAGTTCTCAGATAAGTGATCAAACCACATGGTTACTTTCAAGAATTTTCGTTGTACAAATCGTGTTCTTCTAAATGAAATTTTGAAGAAAAAACATACATCAGAATGCTTAAATTTATATCTTGACTGGTTTTTTAATTGTATCTCCTGATAAAGTACTCTCACTGATGACTATGAATTAAAAATGGGAGGGGAATTGGAAAAAAGACAATAAAGTCTAGCTTGATCAGGAAGTTATCGAACCTGGATGAGCCAATGTTGATAGTTAAAAGACTCCTGTTTTGGCTTCCTTTTTGCTTGCATCCAAGTTTCACTAGCAATGAGTCTTGGTTTAGGGGCTGCACTGAGAGCTTGTATGGTTTGCTTCGACATTTGTTGTGATGCAGATGATCTAAGTGGGAAATGAATATAAATATAAATACAATGCAAACTATCATAGCGAGGTATGAAATACAATCATTATATCTGCATGAATTCTCTGATTCAGTACTTAGAACGAGCCTTTGAAGGGGAAAAGCCCACTTTTAAAGAGGCTCTGACTAATGATACTTTTTGGTGATAGTCGCGTGTGCCTTCAGCACCACAATGTTCTTTTTCTTTCATTCTCCTTAAACTTCCATGTACTTTTCCTCTAGTCATTAACAGATGCTGGATTTAAGCATTTCAGGCTCAATTCTCTCAAACTTTTACTCAATCATGTAGTCCATCCAATAAAAGTAATGACTAGACTTGCAACTGATAGCTCCACTGATTACAGCCAGCCAAACGCCTTGTTGTCTAACCATCTGTGACATCATCAAGTCTATAAAAGCATGTGCTGCTCGATTTTACTGCTTTGGTGGTGTCTATCTCGTCACTCCTCTGATGCAAGGGCGACTCAAAGCTTTTCCGGCTTATGTGGAAATAGAAATTCAGTTAGAGGAGCCAGTCAGTTTAGCTAGTTTTACAATAGAGCAAACAACATTTTTTTATGATTTTTCGTTTTTGACTATTTTAATGATCTTGGTGTTTGTTGTGTATATAATGGTTTATTTAACATTTGAGTCTTTAATTAAATGTTATGACTTAGATAATCAAACTATGGAATCTTTTTGAACAGTTTTACCTTTGGTAATTTTAGTTTTTCTAGCTTTTCCATCTATCCGAATTTTGTATTTAATGGATGAAATAAAAAATCCTATGTTAACATGTAAAGTATTAGGCCATCAATGATTTTGGAGCTACGAATATAGAGATTTCAGTAGTTTTGAATTTGATTCATATATAGTTTTTAATTTGATGCGGTTGCTAGAAGTTGACAATTGTTTTGTTATTCCACTTGGCCTAAAGATGCGGCTTCTAGTTTCGTCTGTAGATGTTCTTCATTCCTAAACTGTTCCTGCATTTGGAGTAAAAGTTGATTCTGTTCCTGGTCGGTTAAATCAATTAAATTTTACAGTTAATCGATTGGATATTTATTTTGGGCAATGTTCAGAAATCTGTGGAGTTAATCATAGATTTATGCCTATTATGGTAGAAGTGGTTTTAAATCAGGGATTTTCTGTTTGGCTAGAAAATACGCCTTTCAGAGAGCCTTGAGGCCTTCACGCCTTTGAGAGAATTTAAAAATAGATGGGAAAAATGCAAGAACACTTTGTCCTTGGGTCTACATGTTATCTATTCTTGTCAAAACAAAAAGAAAGTAAAAACAAAGCATCCAAAAGCAATTTGCCCACAATATACAGGGTGTCTCAGGATAAAATACGAATATTAAAGGAGTTGATTCTTTGGGTCATAAAGTGGTATACATTTTTTTCCAAAAACGCTTTCCCTGGGCGCCACGACTCCCCAAAGTTGGAGGAAAAAATCGTCTTTTTAGCACTGCAGCAATGTTTATCAACCAATATTAATAAAAATTGGTAGCTGGAAGTAATTTTTAGTGCTCTTTTCATTTTTAACCTCCATAATAGGTAAAACTCAGTTTGAAAGGGGGGGGGGGGGTACAAAAATAAAAGTGGCCAAAATTAATGTTTCTAGCGACAAAAATTGATTTTTGACTGCACCAAAAGATTCAGCATTGAAAAATATTGAGAAAATGTCTCCTGCGTTTTTTTGCTGTAATTCGTCGTTTTCGAGATAATGGGGACTAATAGGGAATAATAGGAGCTGATAATAGGGGGATAATGGGGCCCCCACGGAAAGCGTTTTTCGAAAAAAAGTTATACCACAAAAACGTCTTCTTTTGACCCCAAGAATTGACTCCTTCAATATTCGTACTTAATCTTGGGACACCCTGTATACCCGTACAATTTACCCATCACTTTAAGGAACAGTGCATCCAAAGCTGATTTTCTGATGATGCAGGCGATACTTTTTGACAATACTGATGATTTCTGATGATACTTTTAAAAATTTTCTAAAAAGTGCTATTTTTAATACTTCATCAACTTTCCAGATGTTTTTACAAAAATATCTTCTCTTTTTGTGAAGAAAAATGGACCCCTCAATAATTGAACAACCAAAAGAGATCGCACTGATCCTCACTTATGCTCACACATGCCTTTGAGCTAACTTAAATTGGAATACACAATCTGGCAGACAAATTTTACCTGTCAGGGATATCTCTGGATGAGTAACTTTGCTTCTTGACTGGGGGCTGCAGTGGAGCCCTACATCGTTGCATTGAGATCATTTCATCCTGCAAATTGGGCATTGAACGACAACAGTCGAAACGAGAGAGGTTGTCTGGCTTATAGTCTGCATACGTTAAAGGCACTTGCGACACATCCTGCAGGGACCTTGATTCCGTTTCAACATGGCTCAGATTGTCTAGGGATCCCTTTGCTGGGGCACAGTTAAGTGGCGGGTGTGATACATCTTGCAGGGATCTACGGTTGTGTGACCAAGAATTTTCAGTCTGCATTGGCGGTTCGCGTTCTGAGAATTCTGGATCTGTTAGATTTTCCTGCGTGATACATAAAATAGAGGTGAGAATACATACGTAGATGGCAAATATTTACAACTTTCTTTAAATGCACATGAGGTAATGAATTGAGATTGACAAGAGATGCTTGCTATTTTAAGATTCGGAAGTGGTTTGAACACTTTTGATGTACTTTTTCTTTCCTAATATTTTTGACTGAATGTTATTTCTAATTTACTATGAGACAGATAATAGCTAGATGCTAAAATACCCAGCCATAATTGTCATTTGACGTGTACGGTTCATTGCCTTTGCAATTCCTTCCAGGTAACTTCCTCAGCAACGGGTCATTAAATGCCTTGTAATTTCTATTACTGTTTATCATCAGAAAGTGTAGAATGGTCGACTCCTTAAGTACTTGCATAAAAAAGTACTCTGAAGCCTTCAGGGACAAGAAACGACCCTGGATAATGCAAAAATAGTTGTTGATAATTATTCTAAATGGTTTCCAAAAATCATTACAAGTTCGGTCAAATTGAGAGAGGGTGAAAAGAGACTGGTGAATATTGGAGGTGTGAGTTTTATTCTTTGGCATGTCATGGAATTTGAATAAAAAACATTTTTTTCGGGGAAAAAAAAGAAAAAGAAAAAAAAATACAATTCGCACAGTAAATATTCAACCTTTGGTTATTCATCATACAGATTTGACAAGAAACTGGCCTGGCCTGGCTTTATTGGCTACAGATAAAGAAAAGAGGATGAACAATTAAACATACTTCACTGTCATGCCTCTGATGCCAGCCAATATCATCTGGGTGATATCGATCAAGTTCAACACCTGAGTCTCTTGACTCTCCTTGAGTGGAATCACTTTCTCGAGAGATGCTCTGCAGATGCATTTTTTGGTCCAGTCTCCGCTCCTCTTGGAGAAAAGCTGCCATGTCTGGTGGTGGTTTCACAAGGTCAACATCTGAAAATCACAGAACAACAAGGTAAGTTAAGACAGCTTTTGATCAAAAAATATAAAACAAGATGATTTATTTTGTCGTAACCCTCCCCCCCCCCCAAAGGAGTGTTTTCTTCGGCAAATACACTAAAAAATGAACAGTGAAACAGAATGCGAATAAGAGCTTTTAAAATATACTTTGTATAAGAAGTTCACGAGATATTAATGACACTATAAATTAAATAATAACTTAAAAATCATCATCCCGGACATAGATGTATCTTGTCTGTGATGTTGCAGTATTTCTACGAACACCTTATTTTGTATAGGAAACTCTTGGGACAAATTTGTCTGAAAACTTTGGTATCTTGTCTCACAAGAGTAAAGAAATTTATTGGAAATCTCAGGCGACTTTATGTCATGGTTCTCCTATAAAAAATAAAATGTTAAAAAGAAATACTGGAACAGCGCAATCAAGATACATTTCTTTGTGTGGAAGATGACGAAATGAGGGCATTGGTGCTTTGATGGTTACATGAATACATTTTCCTTTAAAACCTATCATACAACTGAGAAATTGGCTACGAGTTGTGCAGGCTTGTTCTGAACTTGATGAATTTCTCGAAAATAATCTTTTTTTTCTCATTATAATAACGATAATTGAATCTCTCGGTTCGAAAACGACCCACATCAGAAAAATGAAATTTTTCAGGAGACAATATCGATTCTGTAACGGTCAGAAAAAGACGGTCAGAATGGTACCTATGTAAAAAAATGACCAAGGTAAAAAACCGGAGTTGGGTCGTTTCCGAACTGAGCGGTTCAATTTCTCTTATGAAGAGTTTCATTTCCCTTTTTTCACACATCTACCGATGTAAAATTTCGAGATTGCAGTGTAATAAACTTCTTTGAAGCGAGATATTTGCATTCAGAGAATTCATAGCTTGACTTCTTGACTAAAACATAAATTAGGAGCTTTCCTATGAGTACAATAAAGGTAGAATATTCAGTACTAAGCTTATGATAATTGCAACTGAGAAAAGCAAATTCAACGTTACCTGATTTTAGGTAGGCATCATCATCTATGTCTATACCCAGGAACGAAGATCGCTTTTGGTGAAGCTCTTTCTTAATTCGCTTTGTAGAATCTAACCTCCTTAAAATACTCTGGATTAAAAACAAAAGAGAGAAAAAAAAAACATTTTTTGAGGAAATGAAATTTGGAGAAAGCACAGATATGATATTTTAAGTACAAATATGATGAAACGGATTGCATTTTGCAAAAAGGAACCACTAGCATTGCAATGATGCTAAGATTGGGCAACTTCATCTTTTGCAATAAAATTGCGGAAATCGTGAAAAACTATGAAATTTAGATGGTAATTTTTGTCTTAAATTTACAGTTTTTAGCGAGTAAAATAGAAACTATTAATGGATAATCAGGTTTTTCCTCCAAGACAAAAGAAGTTGCACAATCTTAGCAACATTGCAATGCTAGTGGTTCCTTTTTGCAAAATGCAATCCAAACACTAAGGACTTCCAACAGTTGTCTCCAAGGAGAATTAAATTACTTTCTTGAAATTCCAAGAGTACTTTCTAGGAAATTCTTTATGCCCCCACAGAGGCGGATTTGTCCAATTTCCTGTTTGCAAGGGTGACGATTTACTCTTGCGATAGCTCTGCATATTTATCAAGTTAAATAAATCACTTTTTCCATTGTATAAAATTATAAATTTAGCAAAGAAAATTTAAAAGACCAAAAAGATGTCTCTAGAGAAGGAAATTGTCTCACTTTAATAGGTGCCTGCTTTTCGTTTTTCGTTTCAACTGGAGGAGGCGGAGGCTTTTCTTTAGGAGGCTCCAGCATGCTTGAATTCTCAAGAGGAAAGACGGAATCTGGCATCATGTCCGGCAAAATATTTATCACAGGATCCTGGAATCGAAAAGAAAAACAGAATTTTTTACTTATGAAAAAAAATTGAATTCTCACTGAATGAAAGTTTAGATTACATGTCATTCTGGAAAAATCTAAAATTCTGTTCCGGTAAGAGTAAGACATTCACCAAGGAAATTAATCCTTCATAATTTTGGAAGTAGCATTTCTAAAACGTTATTGCTTTGGATCCCTTGAGACTCACTTAAAGGTTTAAAGAGACATCTAGAATAATTGAGGCCTTAATCTTCGGCCATTGCCAGCAATATCAGAAAGAAGGTTGAGTACTTGATATATAATTTTAATTTTAGCAAAATAATTGAGTGGAGACGGCTGAGTTTTTGTAAATTTCCTTGATTCAAGAGAAAAAGGAAAGAGAACTAGAACAAACACACAACTTGGATATTATGAAAAAGATATTATGAGCTAATTCTCATTTTAAGTACTCACACATCCTTCAGAGGCTTCACACATAGGAACTTCATTTGCCGAAGAAATCACCAACTGCGATAAGGCATTAGAAGCATTAGTAAGCAGTTCTCGAGAGGACTGGTTGTGGCCAGCATCATAACGCTCTGCACTCTCTTCACATTGCTGAAAACTGGTAACGTATTGGTTGGTATTATCAAGCTTTGCTGGGGCCGGATTTTCTGACATACAGTATTGATCAGAATTATCCCTCCCCTTTGCAATCTCCTCTATGATGATTGGATGATGATTTATAGATTGATCTTGGTCCAGGTGGAGATTGTAGTCATCAGCCTGACTAACTGAGCTTGAGACATCAGCCGTGAGGATCCCCGAGTCTTCTTTATCAGTATCACCGCTTACGTATGATGCAGGATAATTCTTATTTGGACAGTAGTCAAAATCTTCAAGGCTCTGTACACGTTTCAAGGCTTCATTGCTCAGTCGAAATTTATCTACATCAAGGCTATCGAGCGAGGCATGTCGGAAATGAGATTGCCTCAGCTCTTGAAGAAATAATCCATCTTGATATTCACTTGCTGCCATTTGTGAGCTGATGTATTTTTTGTGCTCCTCCTCGATGTCTTTGATCTTGTCTTTCAGGATATCCAGCTGCTCCATTTCTTCCAGGTCATCATCTTTGTACTCACGGTAGATTTCTACTGGTGGATTGCTGGGTGCCTCGACTAGAGCCACTTTTGGAGGAGTGGTTTTTTGCGGGGAGCTTTCGACTGATGAGGTTATTTTCTCCATTGCAGATAGACGCTCTTTCACTGAAACCTCAGACTCGACTCTGGTGCGGCTGGTTGATTTCTCTTCGTTTGATTTTTCAAGAGACGATAAACGTTCTCGGATGGATTTGGAAGCTGCCAAGTCACCGTTCATCAACTTACTATCACGTTTATTGGTGTCATTGGATATTTTCTCGAACAATTCTCGTCGCTTTGAGATGTCAACTTTGGGAAGGTTGAGAGGCTTTTTGTCGTCATCAGCATTTGAATCTGACTGACTGAATCTACGATGACGTAATTCTGATATTTTCCCTTCTATTTTGGGAGTCGAGCCTCGGAGAACACTGTCAAACTCAGACTTCAATTTTTGGTATTCAGGTTTCGATTCTGATTTGCCGGAGCACTGGCTTGATCTCGACTTTACAATGTTCTCAGCGTAGCTAATACAATTTTGAACAGCTTTTTCATATGCATTTGAATCACCCCCTGCAATTGGTTTGTCTTTTTTATCTACGTCTTTGCTCGAGAGACTATCGACAGATTCACGCAATGGGCTCAGTTTCCTTTCTTCTTCATCTTTTCCCTGAAATAAAAGAAAAACAAACAGATAAATTTAGCCATCTAAAAATTTGTTACTATACCGCAAAAACCTAATCTTGCTGAGACAAAGAAATGATCTTGAGAAACATTTACCATAAAAGAGTCTCGGTCCTGCAATAACAGCAAAGCGAGGATTCATCTTTATTTTTTCGAATTTTCTCCGGTTGATAAAGAAATTGTAACACTTCGAAACTTTCCAGGGTTTTTTATTCACCCTTTGTTTTTTTGCAGACTTTCCTCAAAAATAATTCGGAGGGAAATTTAGTTTCACTCATGAGCAGCTGTGAATGAGAAATGGAATTTTTGAGGTTTTGTGTCAAATGGTATGGATTGTGCGGATATTTGTAAGTCTTAGCAATGAGAGAATATTTTTGACTAATTTTGATCTTAATAAACTTTTGTCCACACACTATATTCACTGCGAGGTCATCCTATTTTCTAGAGATGTATTTAATCCATTAAAAACCTCATAAATTATGAGGAAATGTCCAGTCCTATTTTGCTCTCTATGTCAGCATTCTCCCCTTACGATCGACCATATTTTGCTATCTTGCCCAGAAACCTATACTACACGCATCAAAATTCAAAATTAAAATTAAATTCATACACCCATCCTTTAAGCTCTGATGATCCAAAACTAACTACCAAAATTTTATATGATCTTTTCCGGTAGAACAATTCATTTATGATAGGAAACAATTTAACAATGAATTTCCGATACAATGCAGTAAGAATAATTCAATGTATTATCAAACTCAAAAATAGAGGTTCTAAAGAGGGCTGCAAAGTGGACATCATGAATAGGAACAGAGTAAGAGAAAATCGCATCGTCTAATTTTTTGACTATCACAAGAAAAAGAGTGGTATTTCATTGTGTCATTTAAAGAAAATAGGAGATTTCTTTAAAAACTGGATTCATTAGTAGAAAACTGAGAATTACACACAGTGCTAGCGAAACAAGTGATACTATCATATCTCTTAACTTAAATATGAGGTCCTTACATTTTTTTCCTTTGGACTTGAGACAGTGCTTAAACCAAGGTCGCTTAAATCATCCGAGTTGTCTTCTTGATAAATAGGTAGACTCAACTTCCTTCCTCGGGAGCTCCTGAAAATTTATTCATAAAAGATTTTTTATGGCAAAAAGCAAGGAAACTACTGCCCTCAAATATTCTGTACAATAAAACAGTGGTTAATTCTAGAACAATCTGCGAGATTCCCAGAAAAAGAGAATACGGTCTCATGCCCCTTTTTCTTGAAAATTTGCTTCATGGATTTTTTGTACCTCAATAAGTACACATACAAAATCTTAGACAAAATTTTCAATTGTTGGAACCATCAGAGGACCATTTTTTAAAGACAGGATCGACATTCAGCTTTAATAATCACCAAAGCCTATGACTGCTCATCCATTTTCGGGGAAAAAAAAGTGTTGAGCCGGAAAATTTTCAAAATTTCTCCCAGAAGACCTGACAAAAAATAAGTTTCGCGAATGGTAAAATTTCATTCCAAAATTATGAAAATTTCTTCTGAACAATAGAGTTCAGATATCAGTCAGTTTCAGCCATCAGAAAACCAAAATGAAAACTTTCAATTTGTTTTTCTGAAAGTGCGTGTTTTCATTAGACAGCCTTTTTCCAGAAATCTCCCAATTACTGGAAACTTTAGTGAGACAACACCTTCAAGAGTTTCCGACACATTTCTTACATCATTCAGACAAATATTTCTCATTATTTTAGGGCATTATACACTATGAATTTTTTAAACTTAAATAGAGATACAAATAAAGACCATCAGAGGGTTTGATAAATATAATAAGATCCCACCTTTGCCAAAACACGAACATCATGTACCCACTAAAAATCACACAATATAAAACAATGTTTCATGTTTCATACTAATATAAACTGCAAATTTCTGGAGAAAGAATTTAAAAAATTGTTTAAAACTAATTATAAAAACAAAAACCAGACTTTTTGAAGGAATAAGACAGAAAAAGCAATACCTCACATTAGTTACAAGATCTCTTTGGGTGAGTGCTGACTTTTCTCTCCACCAATGAAGACTTAAAGAATTCCCAGTTGTGAAGGGATAGAACTTGAAGAGGTCTCAATTTTGGAAATGCATGAACTATTCTTCGGCTTAAGTTTAAAAGCGAAATCTTTGTGAGCTTCAGTTGCTTATACTCATTACTTCAGAATTTGTTATTAGTTTTGTTAATAAAATTTATCCTTTACATGACGAAGTGACTCCATAGTAAATAAAGCTTTCTACAAGAAAACATCAATAAACTACAATGAAAATTTGAAGGAAGGAAGTGATGAGATTGAAAACCATGATTACCTTTCTTCCATCATCTCATTGAATGTTTTGCTGCGTCTCCGATTGCGATCATGATCCTCTAATTCAAATTTCTTCACCTCAACTACTCTTTCGATAATATGCTCCTGTCGTTTTCTTCTGCTGGACTTCCAATTATCTAGGTTCTGCGCAGAAGAAAAAAGAGAAAAATTTAAATGTTATTACTAAACATAGAATTACCCATTAAGTATTATGGAGAACAATTATTTATGAAGCAAATCAATAGAGATTGAGGCTGAAAACTTGTTCTTCAAGTGAATAAAACAGTTGCTTTACCTCGAGGATTTACTTTAAAGGTGGGAACCGAACAAGCAAGGTAGATGTTTAAAAATCAAATACTGGTGAAAAATAAACAAGCCACTTGAAAATCAGAAAACCTTTTCGAACTGAGAATAAAATGGCATGTTGTTTCAAGCCATGCAAAGTGAAGTGGACTGCATTTTGCAATTTGGAACTGCAATATCTGACTCAGTTCAGAAATGACGTGTGCACCATTAGTTTTCTATGCACATAAGTGTTTTTACAGAAGGGCTGAAAATTGTAGTTTGTAATCGCAAAATGTAGTCCAAGTGTTATGCATTAGGAGGGAAATCATTCCCTTAAGGCATCGATTCAGCAAGATGACAACTTCAATTGTAGAGATGACTTTTCAATAAATTGATTAAAGAAATGCAGTAAAAATTGTAAACAGTAAGTTACCAGTTAAATGACAACTCTCTCATTCAATGCATCATACGCATTAGGTTGTTCTTCTTAAGTAATAGGTAGAAGAGCCGAACAACTTCAGGTACTTACATTTTGCCAGTCGGCTCCTTCATCCTTAACTGGAGCCACTTTTTTCACCTCTTCAACTTTCTTCAATTGTTCATGGGCAGAGCGGTACAGGCCAGCTGGACCAACTTTGATGAACTGTAGGGGGTTTGCTGCTGGTTTAGGGGCGGTTACTGTGATATTGCGAGTTGGAATACCTCCTGTGGGTGAAGTAGGCTGGAAATTAAAAGGGAGATGAGATTATACTTAGGTGAATAGACTGCTAAGTTTCACAGGAAAAAAGTAACTTGATTTGTGGCAGTTAGTTACAAATTGATTTGCATAAGAAAAAAGGTTGGAGAAACTACTTCAGGTTCAGGTATTAAACGTTTTTTATTTACACAAAAAGGATGTCAGGTTATACAAAGTACAGCACTCTGGGATTGAGATAAAATTAGCCTTTCTTGGCAAATATTACGACTTAATTAGCAAGGTTCTAATCTTGTAGATTTTGCAACTTGCAATGCTTTTGTAGGAACGAACCTGGAGATTGCAAGGGTAAAATTTCATGAAACTCTTAAAACTTTTTTTTTTTAAACGACTCATGTAGTCACGAAACGTCAAAAATGAAGGGATGAGAGCCAAAGAGGCTTATTTGCATTGGAAAGTTTTAATTGACAATTTATTCATATAGGTATACCTACTTACTCAAGAATAATTGCGAATTCTCTACGTAAAACATGCACCCGTTATGCCGTTCATAAGTAAGAGACAAAGTGTGAAGTGAAATTTAGAAACATTGCAATGAAAGTAAGTCATCCTATCAAATCATGAAAATTTAATTTTTTGGAAAAAAAAGAGTCGCACTTCAAAGTTTCTCCTTGAACTCTCACATTAGTAGGGGGTTACCTACCTAATCAGCACTTGAGAGTTCTATGAAATAAGTACCAAAAGGAAACTTCATAATGCAGATTTTTATTTTGCATATCTACGTGAATCATACATACAGGGTGTCCCAGGATTGAGTAAGAATATTGAAAGAGTCCATTCTTTGGGTAAGAAAATACGTTTTTGTGGTAAAACCTTTTTTTCCCCCAAAAACGCTTTCCCTAGGGGCCACGCCGCCACGGCCCCCCAAAGTTGGACAAAAAAATCGTCTTTTTAACACTATGACATTGTTTATCAACCAATATTGATGAAAATTGGTAACTGGGTATAATATTAGGCGTTCTTTTCCTTTTTGACCTCCATAAAAGGGGAAACTTATTTTGAAGGGGGTTTAGGGGGGGTATAGAACCTAAGGGGGCAAAAATTAATGTTTCTAACGACAAAAACTGATTTTTGACGGCACCACTAGATTCAGCGTTAAAAAATATTGAAAAAATGTATCTTGCGTTCTATCGCTATGACTCATCGTTTTCGAGATGATAGGGACTAGTAGGGGATAATAGGGGGACAATGGGGCCTCCAGGGAAAGCGTTTTTGGAAAAAGAGTTATTCCACAAAAACGTCTTTTTTTTACATCGACCCCTTTAATATTCGTACTTAATCCTGGGACACTCTGTATACTGCAATACAATGAAATGCCCTCGATTTTCAAAGTAAAAATTCTCGACACGGAAGTATGGAGGAGCAGGGGTTGGTGAACGTACCGATTTCGGAGCTTCGTCTGTTTGTGGCTCCATTTTTTCAGGTGTCGAGGGACCGTTAGGTTGGCCATCGGCTTCTGGGCATGTGAGGTACAGCTGATCTACGATGTTTGGCATGCTAAAGCCCACATCAAGCGCCGTTCATTCAGATTAGCCTGAAACAGCAAACAATATTCACTCGTTAAATCTTACTCCATAAAAACCAAAAGAAAAACATTCACAATTTTACCAGTACATTAGTTCATAATTGGAGGAAATATGACAACGTATGAAGGCTTGTGCGGCGTTTTTCCTTAGTACGGCAGAAGACTAACGCAGTGATCCATAAAATTAGGGAAGCAGGAGCATAGGAGCACTGGCAGCATCTCGAGGAACTAGCTGCGAACATTACGCAACGAGAGTAACTACAAGATCGTCGCGCTACGGAAAAACGACGTATGGACTTTCGGACGTTGCCAAATTCCCTCCGATAAGATGTTAATTCTTAAAGAAAATTATATGAATTTTCTATGAAAATTTTCTAGATATTTTTGAATGAATTAGAAGTAAAATTCCCTGTAGAGTTGGAAGAAAAATATTCACAAATTACTTTAAAAATTTGAATTTCATCGGAGGAAATTTGGCAACAACTGAAGGGTTATACGGTGTTCTTCCTCAACGCGGCAGAATAGACACCTAGGCGGGGCGGGGCTACACGAATGGCTTTTTAAGTACCGACGAAAATCTTGCTTTTAATTAAGACTCCACTCCATCGGCTAATTTGCGCGGTAATCGACGTGCTAAGTTGCCGAGTTGTAAGTCGCTCCCGAAATTCTCACGATTAATTTTAAAATCGGCCTCCATCGAACAAAAATACGCGACTCGAAAAAGAATCCCCGTAAAAAGAGAGCTTTTGATCCGTGTTGTCGCTTTTTCTTTTGAAATACGGACTAAACTGGCAAAGCTACCCGAGCTTTGGACGACCTTCAGACTAAGTCCTTTCCTTCACTGGAAAAAAAAAAAACACATTGGATCTGGAGTCCAGACTCTTGAAAACATTGACGAGAAAAAATATTCTTGATTCAATCGGATTTTTGCTTGAATCAAAACGAAATCCGCTTAAATTAAGAGGCTTGGTTCTTGATTTAAGCTAGGTTCTGATTGAATCAAGAATACTTTTTCTTGTCGATGTTTTTAAGAGTCTGGACTCTAGATCCAGTGTGTTTTTTTCCACTGTTGCGTTAAAAAATAAAGTATAAAAAAACGATAATAATCTAACAACAAAAGTTGGGCACCACCGTGTAACACATAGAGATGAAGCCAGAGTGGAAAAAGCAGGATATTTTTTGTGTGGCTGTGCAGAAGGGGCAGAACTACTGCGAGCAACTATTCGAGCTCTGAAGCTGCTCATATTGCCATCGCGGTCATTGAAGGCGAACTCGACTAAATGCGAGACGTAATAATGCAAGGGGCAAAATTATACAAATTATGAATTTGATTGAAAAACCATACGAACTTCGAGAGGGGAGTAGAGAAAGAGTTAAAAATGTTAAGATTTGTGCGACTGACTAAAGTTTCTGACTCTTCCTTCTCGTACAACAATACACACGGCTAAAAAAACATTTCTTTGAATAGACAAACATAACGGCTCATGAAATGCTTTCTGACCTACTGCGCGGGGTGAGGACGAACAACAAAAATCATCAACGTACGTAAAATATCTTCGTACCTTTCCGCGCCCGTTCATTTCGAACTTAGTCTAGCACTTTGGAGTATATTCCTTTAAAAAAATTTATTTTGGTCAAAAATAAGGTCAAATTCAACGGTTTACCTCCCAAATAACGTATCTCGCTCAGGGCCGGATTAAGGGGGTGGCCAAATGGGCGGCGGCCCATGGCGGCAAAATGTAGGGGGGCGGCATATTTTGCAATCTTTTTGAATGTAGGTATCAAAAAATGAGAGAAAACCATCGGATTCAGAAAATAAATTACAATCGAGAAAAGGCGACAAAATCTCTCATTTCCTGAGGGTAAAAAGAGTAATTTCTAATTTTGTCGTCTTTCGGTGATACAAGAGACAACACCTTTAATTATTCGAGTTAGACCAAGAGAGAAACCAAACACGCAATCTGGAACGGAGCGGCGCGGCGGTCGACATGAAACGCATAGCGCCTACAAGACTGCATGAATACTTCACGCATTGCGCCAACACAGTGCGGTCGGCGCAGCGGCGGAAGTTAAAATTATTCACCACATTAATGTTTGTTCTATCATAATTTTTTCGTTTGTTTTTTATAAATGGAGGGCCTTGTCCAAACATGAATGGGTTTACGGAACTGAACTTTTGTTAGTGTTGACAGGGCTTTCACAAAAAATGTGCCCAACACGAGTAAACGCGTCTCATACACCCCTCCCCCTCCGGCCTACTATTCGGACATTTTTAGAGCTTAGAAACGGCAAGGCAACAATGCGTACAAGTTGAAATGCCAATTATATTTGTGCACTGGTTACATTTTACACTATTAATAAAAATACTGAAGAAAAAGCGGGGGTTTTCTAGTGTTCCGATGGCTCAGCTTGCAAAGCTCCGTTTGCCGAGAGTAAAACAAACACCGATTGGGGGAGGGGGGAGGAAAGGAGCGCGAAAAACTTGATTTTCCGCTGATTGGGGGCTGCTTCGAGGAGGAGCTATTCGAGAAATGCTGGTCGTTGGGTTGAAAGCCACCGCGCCCGGTAAAGAGTCACGCTCTGACGTTTAACTGCTTTTTCACACTCCTAATTTGGCCCCGCAACGGTAGCCCTCCCGCTGGGAATTACTGCCGTTGGCGGCTATTGCTTGGAATGTGTGAGTTATAGATACGAAAAAATACGGAGGAATATGAGGAGAAATGAAAAGAGAGAGAGAGCATTGGCGGATCCAGAAAATTGGCAACATTGTTTTTCTCCCTTTATACCTATGAAAATGTGTAAATTCTTGGAGGGGTCCGATGCTCCGACAAGAATCGATTATTTAACATGGGTTTAAATGGAGGGAATCCAGTGTTGCAAATAGCTGGATCCGTCTCTGAGAGGGGAAGGGGGAGAAAGAGAGAGGGAAAAGGCGAGGGAGAGCACTGAAAAAAAAAAAAAAAAAAAAAAAAAAAACGAGGGGGGAAAAACGGGAAACAAAAAAAAAAAAAAAACACACATTGGATCTAGAGTCCAGACTCTTAAAAACATCGACAAGAAAAAGTACGCTTGATTCAATCAGAATCTAGCTTAAATCAAGAACCAAGCCTCTTAATCTAAGCGGATTTCGTTTTGATTCAAGCAAAAATCCGATTGAATCAAGAGTATTTTTTCTTGTCAATGTTTTCAAGAGTCCGGACTCTAGATCCAATGTGTTTATTTTCTAGTGTACTGGAGAAATAATTTTTTCAGGTTCTCCTTTTTTCTTCTGGATTCTACGATGTGCTAGATCTCTCCCAATTTTGAGCTGTGGAGTGTAAATTTGAAGCCGAAATTAATTTCAAGGAAGCTGGCTCCGGCGAGGTGAAAGATTTTTTACGTATTCCGAGATTTATGCGGAAACCGAATCACGTACGCCATTAGCGTTTATAGACTTGCCGAAGAAAGTGGAGACAGCTGGGGCATGGACCGTCCGGGATGCGTGATGCTCAGAGGAGACGAAAGGGCGCGGAGCTCCGAGGTTGCCACTCGAATTGAAAAAATATCGTATTTTTGACAAAAAATATGCATGATGCTCGCCATTTTTTCAATATTTTCAATTCGAGCGGGGTTGAGCTTTTTTTTTAATTTGACCATAAGTTACCGGTCATATTCAAGACTGGGTAAGAAAAAGCCTCCCATAAAAACAACAGCTTTCCTAGAAGTAAAAGACTGCCGGAATTAACCGGTTATTTATCAACTTTCGGTAAAGTTTCCATGTTCGGTAGAAGAAAGGTTGATATGATTGCCGAGAACGCGTTGAAGTCGCAAGAGAACTGATGAAAATATCAGGAAATTCTGGGGGTATCAACTACCAAGAAAACTGTTGATTTCGTCACTTACTTTTTCGTTCTGCAGGATAACAGACGAGAAGAAAGAAAAGTTACGTTTTGCGTCAACAGAGGGAGTTGACAAAATACTAGAGTTGAACAACGTTTGACTTTTTTTAAAAAAACCGTCTTACAATTTTTTTTTTTTTTTTTTTTTTTTTAAAAAAATAAAGAAACACATTTATGGATCCTCCCACTTGGATGGGTACTTCAACACGGAGTCCATGCATATTAACACTTCGTGGATAAGTGAGGATCGTCTGAAAGTTATAAATCCCCGACGAGATGCCAATAGGTGACTTCATACCGCGTATAAAAATACGGGTGGGTAGGCATTTTTAATATTTGTCATTTCCAAAATGAAGAATAACAGGAGTGAAAAAATTCCACGTGAACTGGAGTGGGTACTTGAAGAAATAATGTACAAGAAATGAGTGAAGAAATTTTTATTTTAGAATTCAGGCACGCTTTTGTACACGGGCGCGGCGTTACGTTGGACTAACTAGCCGGCAAAAATTTGAGGACATGCCGCGTTAATTCGATCTCATCAGTGATGCAAGTGGAGCAACCTGTCCTTCGATCCCAATAACAATGATGAGACCAAAGTTGAAGAAACCATACTATGCACCTACAAGTTATACAACGTCGAGCAATATTTTTCGAAGGGCGTCCCACCTCCCTCAATATTGAACATCGGGACTAATGACGTTAGAACAGAATCTCATTTGACTGAACGGTAATAATCCACCATCATAAGTAGTCGACTCCTTTTTCATAACACTTGGGTTTTTAGGGGGCAAAATAGGCTCTTCCGATTTTACTCAGAGCGAACGTACTTCCAACATCTCTAACAAAAATCAGTTGCGATGAAAGAACCAGCCCTTTGATCGAACAGTTTAGGCCTGAGGAAATTTAATCGAAGAACGTAAGAAGTTTTTAGGCGAGCCAACGTTTGAACATCAAGTGGATCGCATTTGCAAACATGTTGCTTCTTCATAATAATTATCTAAAAAATCTTCCAGAATAGCAAATAGTTTTGGCTTCCCACCAAAAAATTGTTTATTTTAAAGGAAAGTAATTGTGTAAATTTTAATACTGTACATATTATATTACGTATTTTTAAAAGAGGAGGAGAAGTTG